ATGATTCCATCGGTGTAATCAAAGTGAGCTAAATTTTTTCCTAGGATTATACAAGCTACAAATACAAAACATTCGCTGTTCTTAATATTGTGATTATGGCGGTTTCAATCGAATCACAGATATCGACCTATCGATAGTCCGCACGTGGACACGTTACGAAGACAAATCGATTGATATCGATAGGTCATCTAGCCGAGGAAACGTTACATCCATCATTGGGTGATTGGCTTTGTGTGATTGATCTAGTATTGCTTCCCACATGCGAATACATGGGACTTATGTCCGACATCGTCAGTGTTGTAAGTCTAAAAGTGTTTACCTACGACCGTGTTTTAAAGTAGCCATTTCGGTTCGTCTTAGAATTGAAAAGTTTCACATAACAGCATGATTTACTTTCATAACATCATAGTTTTACTCGTAACAACACGGGTACCGTACCAATGAGGTTCAAGGATTGAGAGAGAAGAAGTAAAATTGTTAATGATTCGAACTGCAACGAATCAGCTGTTCAGGTCAATTTAATTGTTGAGTGGTGCAATTAGTGTTATGGTACAGTGCTTTGTTGCACCATTGTCAGTGGCAATGACGAAACGAAAACATAACCTCTCTTAGAAGTTATGAGTAGTGATTTTTAGTAATTAATACACTGCCGTAGGTGTAGTGTACGCAACTCGCGTAAATAGTGTTAACGACATTAACGAATAGAAAATTTAACGTACGAGCATTACTATAACAAATTCTGTCCCCACTCAAGTATATAAATTATTATTGTTGAATCTAGAAGGTTTAGAAAACCTTGCTGTAAGCTGTGACACATATTACAGTACAGTTTCGTGTTAATGAGAAGCATGCTGAAAAACGAATTGTAGGAAATCCTTGTTGCTCTGTTTTACATTTGTTGTATATTGTGTACAATTTTATTTACGCTGTTTATAGATAAATTTACCAAATTATATTTGTGGAAGATTCGAAAGCAAGGTTATTGGAACCAAGAAAACTACATTCCCTATGATTCCATTCTTTAACCGTCCATTAACCAAATATACTTAGACCTTCCCTATCATTGTCAATGCGTAAAAATCAGTGTGAATTTATTATTTCCAAATTAAGTCTTACTCCGAATTAAAAAGTAATGTGAATGAATAATGAATCTATGACGGACGGCAGGGGGCTTTGTTGCCTTGATGGGCCTATTAATTAAGCTCTTAGTTCTTCTGCCAGAATTATTAATCGCCCATCGATCAGTTGCAGATTCTATGGAAATTTTGTCAGTCGGTAGTTTTTTACTGCTTATAAATTAGTGTAAAACGTGGAACCTCTTTTAACAGTTCATGTATTTATTTATTAAAATAATATGAATTAATGATCATAAAATTTACTTTTATATTTTACGCTGATATTTTATAAAACGTTGCATCTTTTACAGACTATACAATTTTAAAACTTCATCACCCATACCGCCCATACCCACCTAGTACTAACACACTGTACCAATTGTTTTAAGATCACTATGAATCTGGTCTCAGTCACTAGAGGAGCTGTTACCATACCGTAACAGCTTGTATAACTGTTACTTGTGATTATTTTGTACTGGTTTAGAACGATTGACGTATTTTAATCGTACTATATCCCACTTTTCATCACTTTTTCGTCCACTACAGATGAAGTATTCACTCGATGATCCGGTTAACTGAAAATGAGTAGTTATAGCAAGAGCAGTGGTGATAGACAGTTGCCTATTTTCATGAACTGTAAACCATTGTGTTATTCTCAAATCAATCAGAATAGCAATTCAAATCAAATTGAAAAATGTATGAAAATGATTATCTGCATACTTTGTCTTTATTGTTCACACTGGTCGAGTGTTTATAGGCAAATAATAAAATCAAACTCACTTACGTTATTGCAAGAGAAAACAATATTTTGTTTCAATTAAACTTCTCCACCTCTAAAGTGTATTTTATCTTTCAGTTAAGACAAGTTAGGATAAACAGTTGTTTTACTCTACACGTATTTTTATTTATATCCTTCAGTTTGAACTGAAGATGAGTATATCTCAAAAATATTTTCGGGAAATTGGCTGTAAACTGATAGTTATTAACTTACATGGGGGAATTTAGGAATTCAGAAAGTGATTTTACAGTTAACAAAACTATTAACTCTATCTTTTATACAAAACTAGCTGAACCCGGCAGACGTTGTCTTGCCTTTGACTATTTATAATTTAAGTACCGTAACGTTTAATTGTCTTATTGTATATGAAGTGCTTATAACTAAATTAAAATACGTACGACAACTAATGAAACACATATAGTACAAAGGATACTCGATTCTTTATTATTGCTCTTATATTAATGCTAGGTTATGCTAGCTTAATAATTAAGCTGGAACCATTATTATTAATGGTTATTTTCATTCATGGTTATTAATGACAGTATTTTCAAGATGATCTCGTTCGCATGGCTCAATCACGTCCTGGTTGAAGTTCGTTCGCTACGCTCACTCACCTTTAGGTTGGAGCTCGTTCGCTACGCTCACTCACCTTTAGGTTGGAGCTCGTTCGCTGCGCTCACTTGCCTTCAGGTTAGCTCGTTCGCTACGCTCACTTGCCTTCAAGTTAGCTCGTTCACTACGCTAACTCGCCTCCAGGTTGAAGTTCGTTCGCTATGCTCACTCAACTTTTGGTTGCAAATTAGCTGTTGTCATAAATAATGTAAAAGAAATAATAGTGCTGCACCCTGTTGGTAATCCTTGTAACTTTAATGCTATTGAACATCATAGAACAGAACCAACTTGTTTAATTGAAACAGCTGTTAAGATTCATTAATTCCATTTCTCATAAGGTTAACATGGGAAACTCCAGAGCCACTGGGGCGGAGCCGATTGGACGGATCACGAAATTGATGGTGTATAAACCTATTCCATGGCATTCTACACGTATGTACCAAGTTTCGTGGCAATCGGTTCAGCGGTGTCTGAGTTTATCACTGCCAAATATACAAACATCCTCTTTTATAGGCTACTTACTTGCAAATCTCACAAGAAGAGTGAAAGTCAGTTGTCTGGGCGATTTCCACGCGAAGATATTTGCATCGGTCTTCAGAACATTCTCAGGATTGTTAAAAGTTTTGTGTTTCTCTGAGAAAATTCAACAGAGAAACTGTCTCTTATCATCTCTTACATGCGTGTGAAACTGTAAAACTGAATCAACAAACAACGCTTTTAATTATAATGAAAGCAAAACGTAAATAGAAAGGCTTTCCTAACATTTTCACAACACTAAATACTTATGATTTAATCAAAATGAGTTAAAACTAAAATTATCTTTGTATCCCGCTATTAAAATTGTTAACATTAATTTATTTTTTGTAGAAGAATTTATGTTGTATGATAAATGGACAATTTAAATAGTGATGTTATTGTTTAAGAAATTAATTAGTAGACATTTTCATGATTGTTCGAAATCATAAAAAATACCGTAGCGTTTATTTGCTTACAAGTAATTTTTGCTTGTAGGGAATTGTTTCTACAAATTAGTATAGCAACTTCAAATAAAAGGGTAAAATTGAAAACGCTATTGAAGATTAGTGTACGTTTATTAACTGTGTATGAACTGTGTACGTATTCAGTAATGAAAATACTGAGAACTAAGATGATAAATAGTGCTACAAATAGGTTTTTGTATTTGTCTGGAACATAAATTAGTTAATTTTGTGTAATTTTGTGTGATATAGAGTTCTAAAACACACGATTAATAAGTCTGATGACGATCACGTTAGTAAACAAAACGTAAGTAATTGAATTTGGATGTAATTTCTGTAGTATGTATATTGTATCCAAGGCTGAATGGTTAATTGATGTTGTGTAAATGTATTAGCATGCTTTAGATGTTTGCCTACCTAGCACAGAGTTTATACCATGTTTATACACGTGCTTTATTTGTGTATACTTTACTGAGCCTACTTTTATTACTATACTTGTATAAACTTAATCTCCCTATCGCGACACTCGTGAACGTATGTTACATAAAAATACATTTTTACCACACACCTTTATTTTCTTCACGCTGTTGTGATATTTCACCAAAAAGTGACAGTAAAAACTAAAGTGGGAATATCCATCAGGATTAGATTAAATCAATTGTATAACTCAATCTTGGATTCTTCAAATATAAGGGTAAACCATGCAGGTTATTTCTTGTGTTTTCATTTGGACAGCCAACTATACACTTTTCAGCAACTTGTGAGTCAGAAGACAGAATTAAATATCCGTGATTTCAAACAGCTGATTGTTACAACAATGGAAAGGGCGTGTTTATAAGTTTGTTTTGACTAGGTTATGTTTTTTTCTCAGTTGTTTAGTTGAGTACCAAAAATCCTGTCAACAAAATATGGCTATTACAAAGCTTTCGATTCTCTCCACAGCGTTTGGCGGAGTCTGAGGACGACCCGAACTCTTCCCGGCACATAAATATCCAGTTGTCCAGTGAATTGTATCACCCAACAACCTATACAATTTCGACGAGGTACCTGCTTACTAAATTTAGTCCGAAAGCTCTCCTAAATACTAACAAAAGCTACGAGCAAACTCTAAAACACAAAATGCGTTTTCTTGTTTTGTAGTAGCCATTTGTTGACATGCTTCATGGTGCACTAGCAACTGAGCAAAGAACAAACTTGTAAACACACCATTGTTGTAACAATCAGCTGTTTGAAATCACTAAAACAGACGTACCAACCGTTTAGTTTAGTACCATTCTTATCGAATAACCAATAATCAATGCCTTACAATGTATTGTAGCATTGATTAGTGGATAGGCTGTAGACACTCATCTGAACAATGTTTGTAGTGTTCTGATTTTAGACATTCTGTAGACTCCCATCTAGACACAGTAGATATTTATGTAGACACATGTTACTGTGTTGTGCTCTAAGATTGTGTAGCATGTAGTTTTATTTGGTCGCATGTGACTGTGTAGTGATGCATGGTGTGTTTTTTAGAATCTGGCACCGATCATATGGAAGTGCTTGGCCGGAGCGCCAGTAGAAAGAAACTTCATCACATCGATATTCACCTGCATGGTAAGTCATGGGGGTATGCGGTGTTGGTTAGATGTACTGTAGATATTTTAATAGATCGAGATATTAAAATGCACAGCTTCTATTTAGTGTTGAATTTAGGAAATCTTTTTCTTGGAAATACGAGAGTAAAAATGAGTCCAGGTTCGAGGTAAACAATCGTGTAAGGAATAAAACCGTATCACCTCCTTAATATATCAACTATAATTTTAATCTCAAACTGAATTTTAAAAAGCTTATTACTTGATAATTTATAAACACATACTAGTAAGTATACTGAAGGGCTTAGCTCAATACTTAACGAGTTTTTAACTGTAGTTCAAACAATTTATGGCTGTGGTAAAGTAAAACTCAGTAAACAACTTGCTTATCTAACGCCAAAGGCAAAATTGTTTATTGTAAATTACCAAACAAAGTTTGTTATAATTTTGGAAAGGATTATAACCCCACAACACTCGGTTCCCATAATTTCTTTCTGGTTCGTGAACTCGTTCAAGTGTATTCTGCCCTACTCGTTCATGTCAAGTTTCATCAAAATCTGACAAAAGTTATTCGATTTGTCGTATTTCAAGACTTGCACTCACACACACTCAAAATTTGAGCGAAGAGGTTTTCACCTCTGGAGGCATGAAATTGAAAAAGTAAATTGATCCCGGGTTTCTATATTTTAGTTAAGTCTTGCTGTTCCTATAGGGAAATTCAATAAACTTTTTTTCGACCACAGACTTTGTTAAAAAACTTTGAACTATTGTACCACTAACGTCTTTACAAAATACTGTATAACGTTTTCATTTTATTAATTTTGTTGGTTTAATATTGTTTAACGTTGTTAAAACAACAATTTATTTTAAATATTTTTTCCAAGTTGTTTTTTCTATTAGTAAAACAAATAGTTTTGAGTTTGGTGACAAAATCTATACATTTATAACCAAATGAATCTTTGGAACTGATGTGAAATTCATCAGCCAATCTTATTTGATGTAAATTGGAACACGAGCAAAGTGGGAATGCTTGTTTGTAAATCTACCTAGATTATTGTCAATCTTAATTCAGGCAGAGTTAATATTTAAACTTGATCCACCCAACCGTCAGCCACCCCCCTCAAACCACCCTCAACGTGGGGAGGAAGGTGTTTGTTTGGAAACTGGATCCGTTTAGAGTGTTTATGTTAAATTATACAGAGGAAATATGAATTAGTTTTATCGACTTAAATATTTGTTTTAAAATCAGCTAAGATAGGGGTGGATGTGATGTTTTCCCTCCAGTCGAATAGTACAACTTGTTCATTGTACATAGATTATCTTTACTTAGGCCTACATATCATCTCTACATCCTATATCATTATTATACTTACTTAATACTTTAATACTTTCTTATGAAATGGCGACCATACAATAGTTAGCTTTTTAGCAATTATGGTTTAGCAATTAAGACTTTATTAAATTGTATATTTTTCTAAGCTAAATCATACTAAAAGGTTGAATAATAAGTAATTAAATTCCAAATAACATTTGAATTTACATAGATTTTTTTACTAACTAGAATTACATTGGTTTTTGTCCGTGGTTATATTATAAGCCCTCTATATTCACTCTACTATATAAAAAGCTACTCAGGTTGTAGATTTAAATTTACAATGTTGTTTATTTTAAGATACCTTATCAAATGAGAACACTTTTTTGAAATAGGTTTATGTGCGTCAAATATGAATGAAACAATAGCTATAGATGCAGAGTGTTGACTGAAGTGATATACTGCGGTTTCGATGACAAATCTCTATACATTCCGAGTGCTCTCGAACATTGAAGAGTCCATTCATTACTAGAACTGATCTATAATGCAATACTACTATGATTCGTTGACTACCTGTATGTACAATGTCTACCTGTACAATGACTGGGACGGTGACGTCGTCCTGTAATCCAGCTACTAGGAGGTCACGAATTGTGGATATTTCTAGGCATGCACTGTGGATGCGATACTCCCTGGTGTGGATTAACGTCCGCACTAGTGAGTACTACGACTATCCGCACTCCTTTCCTGATAATTAGACCAATTCGTTAATACCAAGGCAAAAATGTGGTTCGGATTCCACTATAAACTTTAGGTCCTTTAGTTGCCATTAGCTGTATGGGCTATTAATTAACAGCTGTGTCTAAGGAATATATCGGGTTTAGTCACTAACAATACTACAAGATCGCGCTACAACTCCTACACTCATCTTCATTCATATTTGGCTTAAAATACCTACTTTGTATGGTCGCCATTTCAATTAAAAGTATTGAAAAGTATAAAAGTACCAAAACATAGAGGACGATTGATCCTGTGCGCCATTTGCACATTTTAATTTGAACAACTTGTTTCGTTTCTAAACCAAAACTAATAATGCAACACTCTTTTATGCATAGGATTACTAGCTGAAAAATATAATATCCAAGAAAACACAGCATGTAAAAAATAAGTTGGTCGAATCCCTGGTATTCAAGTTAAGAGATACATCAGCCTGAGTCAGTACAAATTAATGACCCGAACAGTAACTTATTCATCCACTACATGTATACATTACATTATGTATGCGTAATGTTGTACAGCTTAAAACATTATTCCAACTTACCATAAATAAAGTGGCTCTAGATAAATATTTTACATATAAAAGTGACAAATATATCCATTCATGGAAAATATTTCCCGTATTAACTAAATGAGTAGTTTCTATTAATATCACCATCAATTTCATGAACATTTAAAATTATTAACCCATCTAAACTGTATCTACCCACACAATGAGCGCACTAACCAGTCTATTTCAATGTCTATGTTTATTTAATTGTATCCTGATATACTTAGGTGAAACTGTGTCTATTTCAGTGATCATCAATAATTCTTACCCTTGACAACGTTATCACAGTGTGATGCTCAACTGACGGCAAGTAGGCGTGCAAACGCAGAAGCTTCATCTGCTCTGTGTTCACTTGAAATCTCACTATTGTTGATTCCTAATGTGTTTGGGTCAAAATAATGGTATTTTGTATTTTGAGCAATACAGTTAAATTTAATTACTGACAAATTTCCTTATGGACGTTAACACCTAACACTTTAAGAGATATGTTCACAACTAGGAACTAAATACAATACAATTTATATAGTCAGATCATTTATATAATTATAATACCTCACTAATATCTAACTTCGTATGGTCGTCGTTTCAATTAAAGGTATGAAAAGTAGGCCTATAGAATTTAAAAAATGTGATGACCGTCAGGATGTTAATTAGGTAACTTTTAGCGAATTTCCCTATAGGGAAGTAGTTATTACCGTAGGTCTCATGGTAAGACCTGGGCCCGGGACCGATTTACTTATTCATTTATATGTCCCCAGACGCCAAAAAGACTATTCGTTCAAATCTGTATACATGTCCGTGAACGCGATAACTTCAGTAATTTTTGTCAGTTTTTTATGAAATTTGGCTTGAAGGTGTAGGGCGGGTTAAACTTGAATGCGTTCGCAAACCACTGATCAGACTATGGGAACAGGGGTTTACGGAGGGTTTTATGGGGTAAAGTTTTTTTTCTCACTTCTGACACTCAAAACAAAGAAATTCCCAATTTCTCTTAGTACAATTTTTAGAGCTTGAAAAACAAATAATTTAGTATATTGAGGGGTTTTTTTTACGGTTTTGTGTACGGGAAAATTTTCAAAAAAAAAAAACGTAGGCCTAAATTTAAAATTACCATGTTATTCTTATGAAGAATAAGTAAACTGTCGTAGTTTGCTTGTTTACAGATATATTTTGATCATACTTGGCAAATTACCTTATTACTAAGCTATTCTACTTCTAAAAACCCCCACTTTATTACCCTCCCTGTAGCAGCAAACCTAGGTATTCATTAAACCTAATGTGATTTAAATAGATTTAATTGAAAATCCAATCGAGCAAATGGAAATTCGTTTTGTCCACAGGTTTGCTGCGGCGGGGGTATTTAAATAACATTATCTAAATACACCTATAAGCCACACATGATGTGTTAAGTTGAATAACAAGCCCAAGTCGATCGTGCATTCACTGAGGACTGAGGAAACAGAATATTATAAACCGTTGTCAACCCTCACCAGCGCACTTTGTTGAATATTCAATCCTGCATTTGAATACGTCGTCGCCGTAAACTGAATTCCTCTTATCATTTATGATTGAATTCATCACGATAAATAACTCTTGACAAATCTGGTTTTAACCCTCTCCGTCTTGCGGTTTTATTTAACTTACTCTGGTTGCACTAGATATGTTGTTTCTAACCGTGAAGCAAAATCAATAGTTGTTGTTGGAGGATTCTTACAAACTTATTTTATTTCAATCGAAAACATTTCTTGCATTTATAAACATTTGCTGGATATTAGGGTTTATGAGAGGACTGATCGTATGATGCAATTTTCCGATTTTGTCGTTCGCCAATACATTAAATGTATACAATTAACAAAGTAGGTAAAACATTAAATATTTTAAAAGTAAGTTGATTAATAGTTTTATTTGTGTGACTAGTGGGTGAAGTGGCACTTTGGTGCACACGAGAGGAAAATTACGAACTGCAGGCGAGTATAGAAAGTTTCTCGAGTGCAGCAAAGGCAGTTTTCACTCGCGTTACACATTATATTATTTCTTACAGTTACTATAAAGCATTAAATAATTAGTCTTTAAAACCATGTACAACACGATTTTAGGTTAAATCCAAACATTGAACGAAATGGTAAACACTGCACCAGTTTATCGTAGTGTTGCCAACTTGTTTTCAAGCGTACACGTATTACGTTACTAATAAAAGCACGCTGTTTTGTGTTGTTTGGTTGGAATACTGGTGTGCGAAAAAGTAAAAACTGTGTGCCAAAGTAAGTTAACGCAGCAGTTAGCCGCTTTCTGTACTATAATCTGTACAATGAAGCCCACTTTGCCGGGCGACTGTAGGAAAAATTAGTTGTTATTAAAGCCTAAGTCAATCGGGTTAATAGTAAAAACATTATTATTAATTAGACTTCTTAAAAAGTTTTTATAGATTCAGTATATTTTTCTCCAAATCGTGAATTAGTTGATGTCAAATTAGAGGATTTATAAAGTTAGTTAAAATACAATAACTATTTATATCACAACTTAATTTCCACAACTTTTTACAACGTGGTGACGCATTATTACGTCAAATCAGTGAACTTTTGGCTACCACGTCTTGAATATGCAGCACCCGCATTTGAATACGGGTTCAATATGACTAGAATAAAGTGAATTAATCTTTTAATTTGTAAATGAATATTCATTTTAATTTAGTGAACCAAACGCGATTTCTTTCAAGTTTGTTTTTCATGTTTTCCTGTATTTCATCTAATGTGTGGTGAGGAGAGTGTGTTTGTGAATATTAACTTGAACACTATCATAGCCTCCTCTGGAATTAATTATTATGTTTGTGGAAACATTATAACGAGATCGTTTGTTAGTTTAATTAATACGCAATTAACACCACTTATGAGTAATGGGCACCGTAAAGTACAACTGTACACAACCCCTATAACTAATTATTTTAAATGATTATATTGCTTTTAGCAAGTGTGATGTTGTATATTATTAATGACGTTATTGTAATAAACTTTTAGTACCAATACCTAAATAACTTAGCACAAAAACTCATTTTCAAATCATAGTAAGGCATCGTTTGGCATTTATTTTTATTCCAATTATCTGATCTGAGAGTGTAGTATTTAAATTATTAGTCACTAGTTCAATTTTTAGCATTTTACGTTACTATGTTATTCTGAGTTCCTTTTGCATTCTCATTAATTTGGAATAAAATTCTCAAGTAAAAAATCTGGTTTCATAAAAATTTAACATTTTTACGTTTCTGTGGCTTTAATTTTTTGCACAGTGAAAATTTCACGTAATTTGTACAGTGATATATATGAACTGTACCACATCGCGGTGTGACGCCCGGCTAGGTTCTGTCTTCATTAATCAATGATTGTCTGAGTATAGTATCAGGAGCAGTGTTGGTTCAGTATCCTAAGTCAACAATAGCAGTGCAAGATGACAAATTCAAATATAAACACCAGCCCCATGTGGCTCTGTGATCAACTGCATAACTAACTCTATGTTAACAATGCAATTCGTAGGCTTGAAAATCACATAGAGGTGTTATGGTCGGGACAATTGTATGGAAATGAATAGGTAACGAGAATTTGTAGCCATTTTCAGTCGTCCATCCAAATATAAACACCAGCCCCATGTGGCTCTGTGATCAACTGCATAACTAACTCTATGTTAACAGTGCAATTCGTAGGCTCGGTGTAGAATCACCAAGAGGTGTTATGGTCGGGACAACTGCATGGAAATGAATACGTAACGAGAATTTGTAGCCATTTTCAGTCGTCCAACCAAATATAAACACCAGCCCCATGTGGCGTTGTGATCAACTGCATCTAACTCTATGTTAATAATGCAATTCGTAGGCTTGAAAACCACAAAGAGGTGTTATGGTCGGGACAATTGTATGGAAATGAATAGGTAACGAGAATTTGTAGCCATTTTCAGTCGTCCAACCAAATGCGTCAAAGTTCACCGTTAGTTGTAGCTTTTGAATTAATGTAAGTTATTAAATTATTGTAAAATAATTTTATACGTCTGTTGCTTAACTCTAACGTATATTATTATAAATAGTTTGTGATGTAATAATTCGTGCTATTATTTATGGTTTGTGATTAATGATGTTCTTTTCCGCAAGGTTATTTCAAATTTTAGATGTTAGCATCCGGATTGCCAAATAATATTAAAGAGCTTTAACTGTTGAAGTTTGCTAATACTGAATCCCCCTTATGTTTCGTTTAGTTAAACTCCGGAGGTTTATAAAATCAAGCTAAATACTATAAATTATAGTCTGAAATATTACGCAATTTTAACAAGACTCATTTGCCAACCAATCGAACATCACGTTAAGCTCCAAAATCAATAACTAAAATATGCTTAGCGTAGCACACGTACATTACGATAGGAGAGAGCTTGTGCAAAATGTAAGTGAGAAAAATCTGGACACTAAATAAGGTGGAACCATGGTGGAACACGGTTTGACATTTGATAATCTAACTTTCTTGTTTCCAAACAAGTTAGTATTTAGTCCTTGCCTACAATGTAAATGTCAACAATGTAAATTGCTCTACTCTCTGATTGGAAGGGGACAACAATATAATTTATTCTGTCGCCTGATTGGCCGTTCAGCGCCACAGAATCAGCTGATTGGTCGAATAAACACCAAGGCTGTTTAACAAGGGTGCTACGGTAGCAGAACTGAACTGTTGATTTTGTTGGTAATGTTAACAGTGTGAACGACCGTTTTGTTGTTAATGCGATAGTTACGTCATTTAAATGGATAAAAACTAGTAATTATAAGTGATAAATCAGTATACATATACTCATAGGTATTTTTATACGGTTGTTTTTATTTGCTAGTTAACTTTCACAAATTCAATTAGCATGTTGCTGTGTGCACTGAAAATTTATAAAAAGTGAATTATCTGTTTATTAACAGATAAAAAGTACGGTAAAGTTAGGAACTTTATGATTCAATAACTTACCGGACTGTCACGGCTAAAGTTCTCTCCAAGTATTTTTATTGAGAATGAAAGAGAAAGAAAAGTTGTATTATTAGGTTTAGCGTCCTAACTCTTATCTCATTCACAGTTAGTTAATTTCGCGCAGTGCTACTGATTTTCACACTTTTTAGTTTCACCGTTCACGCATCAAAGTTTTTTAGCTTAAATACTTTTTAGGAAAAATAAATGCGGTGGTACTGCGATACCACCTTGTCGTAACTTCCTTAAAACCTTCACAATACCACTATTTTGTACCATTAATAGGTGTTTTATATTAACGTACGTTTAAATCTCCCTACAAAGTTTTATCTGGTTGTGTCTAATTATTAATTAGACTTATTAACTCCAGGTAGGCTTGACTTGAATAATGAATCTTAGCAAACGTAGTATACCCAAGCAGTACTTATGCATTTTTTGTTGGAATCTTAAGTCTATTTAATTTTTTTTTGTTGCAGCCCTGTTTGCAGCCGTTGAGCATGGTCATGTTGAGAAGGCCAAAACCATCTTGGAATCAACCGACGTTGATGTTAACAGGTAAGATTCAAAGTTTCCCTTTTACCTTGATTTTAGGTGTATTCCGTAACTGTTACTAAAATACAATCACTAATAATTTCTATTTGTAAACCATGTTTTCTACTTTCTGTTGTTTTGACTCTATTCATCAACTTTAGCAGGAAGTGCAATAATCATATCTTCCACAGTGCGATGGTGTGAGAGTGTGAACCCAACCACTGAAATGTTAAACGTTCTTTTGATGTGAATCATTTACGCCCCAAATGTTCTATTTGACGCTTTGTCGATGTAGCTTTGCTGGAAATATAATATGTTGGCTGTTGCCATTACGTTTATAGTATAACCAACTACTATATTTGTGTTTTGGGGTTTAGCACAGATCAAAGAGTGTAAATAAATAATAATAGCGTATTCCCTGCTAATGTAATAGCTTATTGCCTGGATTATGCATTATGCTTATATGTTAAATTCACTAAAACGTGATATTTCAAATATTAGTTATTCGATGTTTTTGAACTTACTGTCATTTGATAGGAAATTTAAAATCTAGACTATTATAAAATTGATGTGGTGTCTGTCTGTCTGTTTGTCTGGGTGGCTGTCACAACTAAAACCAATATAGCCAAAATTAACCAAAAAGAAGGTCCATATATCTAGGAAAGAAGGTCTCCATGGCAGAATGAGAAAACTCATTATGTTTTTCTTTGCTTTGACATTTTAATGTAAACAAGAATAACTGACAAATGCTCATTTCACAATTTCAGACAGCTGATCCAAAGAAATTAAACAACTATGTGGTAGGATTATTTAATCTAAAACTTCATCATAGATTATTTATTCTAAATCTATGTGTATGATTATGAATCTGATTTTTCTTTCTGTTGCAAATCAAGGGTACATCTGCTAGTACGTTTACTAAATAAAAAAGCTTTTCTTTACATTTTTGACAAACTTGGCAATTTTACAGCAATTTAAATTTTCAAAATTAAAATTACCGGCATTTTAAATTTCAAATTGAACTAATTAGTCCAGGCAACAAAGACAATATAGCGAAAATTGCATTTATAAGACAAATTTTGTACAGTTGTAGAGGAAGGGTCCTTAAACAACATACTAAAAGTACTGACTAGTGGTAGTGGAGCTAAGGGGGCTGGAATTGTAAGAGTCCTTTTTTAAGGTTTTTCGTAAATAACTAAAAAATGATTGCCTCATATAATTAAATTATCTGTCATGTAATTAAATATTCTATGTAACATTATCTACAAGAAAGGTCTTGTGCATTTTTTATTAGGTTTCTAATAGATATAGGGAGGGTAGCACATGGGAATCAATATTTATTAGATATTTAATGAAAATTTCATTCAATAGTGTTTGTGACCTATGGGGAGATCACAATGAATAAGTAAATCGGTCCCGGGTCTAGGTCATACCTACGGTAATAGCTTCTGCCCTGTAAGAGGATATACAGTATATATGGTGTGGAGTGACATTTGATTGTTGATTTTCAGTGTTAACAGTGATGGCCTCACCCCACTGGATGTGGCTGTGTTGTCCAACAACAGAGGACTGACCAAGGTGCTGCTTACTCAGGGTGCCAGGGAGGGCAACAAGTGTAAGTATATATATATACAGACATATAATAAAAGATATAGGCATTGCGTGAATCTACTATTTCAAAAACTTATAATATTTAAAAATCTATATCTATAAAAGAGGAACTATGTATGTATGTATGTATATACGTTATGGACTCTGAAACCGCTTGACAGATTGTATTGAAACTTTCAGGCATTATTAAGCATCTTTCAAGGATGGTTTGTGTAAAGTTTGGCGCAGATCCAAACCCCAATCACAGCACACCTGTACACTCAACAACATTTTCTCCAATGTTAAATATGTTAACATAAAAACCTGTATAAAAGTATTATAAACAATAAAAGGGATGGAAAATAATAGTTGCTAAGCGCGCGCGCCGAGTAACTGCTAGTTTACAATAAAATTGATTGTCAGTGTATTAACTTACCACATTGACAAAGTAGACAAAGGGAGTATGTTTTATCTATGGTAAAACTTAAGGGAGGTAGATAAGTCTGCTTATGACATTAAAAAACACAATAAAACTGAGAGATGATCATTAGGTCTACTTACAACAATGACGAATGAACAAAAAAACTGATTGACAATCAGCAAGTCTGCTTACAACATTGACATAATACCATGAGCCCATAATTTTTGTGAATTGAGGGAATAACATTAAGTCTACTTGCAACATTGTCACAGAAGCAATCATTATGAAACTGAGAAATAACCAACTTTCCAGGAGAAAGAGTAAGTTCATCTCTTCAATATGAAAGTTATAAACTCGTTAGATCAACCCTAATCCTCACACAGATGTGTTGACTAAGTCAGTGTTATAGAGTTCAAGGCTACTATAGTTCAGTAGCTAGTATTGTAAACTTAGTTATTAACTTACTAGTTACTAACTTAAGTAAACTAAATTAACTATAGTTTGCAAACTTAAATGTTATTATTAGTGTGAAGAGCAAAAAAAAAATATATTTTCATATTTTTTATCCAAACGAATTTTTTTTCTATATTACTTAAAAGATCTTAGAGATAAAATGCTTGAAACTCTCTATAAAAATATTTAGGACTCAGAAAATGTTTTTTTTTTTTTTATAAATACAGTGACAAATTTATAAAATTACTTTAGTAGCTGTGTTTTTTAAAACTATTTGTTCAATGTCCACGTGAATTTGATACCTAGGTGTAGTGCATGCAGTAAGACTCAATAAGTCTCAATAAGAGAACAGCCAGCTTGTTTAAAAAAAAGTTGCTAAAATAAAAAGGCAAGATTAGTTTGAAGTGGAAATATTGTATCTTAAAAATGGATTAACTAACTTGTTGCATTTTTGTTTTTTTTTTAATACTAGATGTATTTCAAACAACCAAGAATAAATTGAATAGCAAAAATATTCTTGACACTAGAAGTTATTTGGAATTTTAATGACTTTTGTTTATTAAAACAAGTAAAGCGTAATGCTACACGAGATTACCCACAAATTAAGTTATCCACCTGTGATACACATCCTACGTTTGCTTTGTTATTGATGCAGACATGAATAATTTTAGGATTCTTTAAAAAGTCCCACTGATTAAAATATGTTTCTTATTTATTATTACGAAAATAATTTTACCTCGCTAAAATATCTTTTATTTCCAAATCAGCGAGCAAAAACAAACAGTTTACAAAGTCTATAATCCAGAAACAAAAGCTCAAGTTACAAAATTACTCAATAAGTTTGTGAAACTAACAAATCTAAATTACACTCATCATTACAGGCAGTTCAACATCTCTTGACAAGTTGTTGAAAGTTTTCAATGGCACTCAGCTTGTCTGTAATTCCCTGTCAGAAAGTTGAAACATGGTGAAAAGTTTCCTGGTCGAAAAATCACAATTACAAGTTTGTAGCAAGTGTTTCTACAAGTTTGAACCCTCTAAGGCACTCAGTCGACTTGTTTAACCTTTTTCTGCGGATAAATTAAGTTTTAGTTTGAATGTTTCTCTTGCTGTTGTTTGCACTGGTAGGAATCGACCAAAATTGTATGTGGAGTATGGTTGGGTAAAAACAAAACTAGTACCGTATTCAATGCTTTAATTTTAAATAAACTTAATGTGTAAAGTAATATACATTTTTTTAACACACATACAGTGCTCGATTTGTAAAAAATGAGGGAACGGAACTGTAACCTATTTGATGTGATCAGTAACTGTTTATGCTAATATTTTTATCTTTCCAAAAGAGAGGTACCGGAACTCCTCGTTCCCCCTAAAATCGAGCACTGCATATAAACCATTATCAATTATGAATGTTTTAAACATGCTGTGCTTTTATGTGTTCTTAAAATATTCTTAAAGTATGTTTAACAAATAACTATTTAGTAAAAGATTATGAATTAAAATCCACTGTTTTTTCTCCCGCACAGAATGGATGAATCCACCAGATTTATTTTTGATAAAAATGAAGACGGAAAACTTTTCAATAGGAAAACTTTTTGTGTAAACTCTTTCCTTTTGTATGACTTTCCACAAGTTTACTTCCTGCGCAATTTCATTCTTGGAATATGCTTGTCCTTGTCCCTTGATAATTTTTTTGAAGTAAAATATCTTAAAAAAATTTGTATAGAGATTAAACATTAAACCCTTAAACATTTAACTTGAAATAAGAAGTTTTTACTATAGTTTTACCGAAAACAATGTTGCTTAGTTCTGTAATTGCTATATTGAACCCGTATTATGTTGAGATCAAGGTATTGTGGCTAACAAGAATTTCAATCAGAACCCCCCCCCCCCCCCCCCCCCCCCACTGTCCAGACTACTACCCCACAGAACTACTGTACCCTGTAACTAACTGTAAGCCATCAAACAAGTTTACAATCCATGTAGGATTCTAGCTGGTGTTTCGTTCAGCTCTTAAGCTGTTGTGCAACTGATTTGTCAATTTCCCATAAACTTTTTAGTTAAAGTGGCAAAGACAACCAATTGAAGAGCAATGAGTATAGTCTAGAAGCATTATTTTATCTTTAATTCGGTCATGCAAAAATTTCATTTTTTTGTATTTTAATATTAATTTTACATCTACTTAAAATCAATTTCAGTAATTTCATTAATTTAATGTTTATTGAAAAAAAGGTTGCACAATGGTGACATATAATTCAAATTTATTGTAGGCCTAGGTATAATGTTCCTCAGGTATGAAAAGAACAAGAACAGTACGAAACCCAGCCCAAGGCTGAACAAAACTATAACCAAAAAATAATCTCCAAAAATAGATCCGGCCAACAGACTGGAAAAGAGGGTAGCAAGGTAAGAATTTGGTAAATGCAACTGCAAAATATTTGCAAGCAACTTGTGTTCTCAACTTTTCCCAAGCTGTTAACAAATAAGTATTTTTTCCCTTTCGAGGTTGTCATTATTGTTTCCTTTGTTGCAGTTGGCAGCCCTGACAAGCTGTTGGCACACCTGCGCCAGCTGGCATGTGAGGCTGAGCGGAGGGTGGCGGAGCTGGGCGGAGGTGCAGGGGAGGATGTGCCCCGCTCTGCCCCGCCGTACCCAGCGACTAGTGACAAGACTTTGGCCCTGTGGGAACGGAGGTGTAAAGGGCTCAACAAGATGATTCAGGGCTTCGAACAGGCTCGTGAGTGTTCATTGTGAAAAACCCTTGTTTGCCCTAAGAAAGCTTCTTATCAGTTGTTTAGCCGGGACAAAACAAAAAAGCTCATGGTAGATGCTATCAAGATTTTTCTGCAATTAACATTTCAATAGTTTTGAAAGTCAATTACGAGATTACAATTGATTTTCAAGTAAATATTGAGAATAGATTTTTTTTACATATTCCATGCTGTATTTATTTTGTAAGTGGATTCTGGATTTGAGATCTGGATCTAGGTTTCCAGAATTCGGTTTGAGATTCTGAACTTGAACTTTACCAATGTTCCTGGTAACAACAAAGAAAAAACCACAAATGGATTTAAAATAATCAATATACAAATTTTTTTTGTGAATATATATCTTCTTGGGTTAGTGTTCATTTTGGTTCTTTGAATACTCGTAGATAAACAAATAGGTAGGTACTAATAAGTTAGTTTTATTTTTTCTAACTGATAATTGTAGCCTGGGAATTTTGAGTTTTGAACCTAGGAATCTGAAATTGTCTTTGAAGTTTATTGTCATGGATTGCTGGACACCCTGATTATAGTGTAACTTTGACTTGACACCACAAACAATATTATTTATAGAATAAAATAAACCAGAGTTTTTACCTAGCTTTATATAGAATGTACGTACAAGCATTTCTATTCATTATACTCAACTCGACCATAATATTACATTTTGAAACTTCAACATACCCCCCCCCCCCCCTCCTAACCACTAACTTCGCCTGTTGTAAATCAATAATTTTAATATTTTTTCATTCCATATATTCTTTAAAGAGTCTGTTATACTTTGAGAAGACTCAACTAAATAACAATATTCACAATTAATATGGTATAATTTCGTTCCCAAAGAGGTTTTAAAATCAAACATTTTTTTCTTTTAAATCCTCAAAAATTAACATTCAATTTTGTTTTACTTGCCTATCTTTAAAAAAAATATGATAGCTTCATAGCTAGTACCGGTACTCATTATACAAGACAATCTTGCACAATGTGCACTTCTTACCTTATACAAAACATAAAGTAAAGAGAAGATTTGCTGAATTTTTAGCTTGTGAGAAAACAACTCCAGCGATGGTAGTTGTGAGCAAGAGAGCTCAGGTGCAGATGTATTCCCGTTGGTATTAGCAAGCTTCTCGATAAAATATTTCTGTAAAAGCACCACTGGGCTCGACCCGACCTTTTTCTATATGAATAGTATTCAAACAAATATAGAAAGTTTTGCTAGTAGGACTAGCTTTCATGTATACTGTTTATGTCTGATTACGGTTTAAAGATGTTTTTTTTTTTTTAATAATTGTATAACACTTACTAATTCATGAGCTGCAAGTAGCTAATAAAGAGGGCTTGATGATATAAAACACTAATTGTTTATGTAAATTGTGCTTAACACTGATCTACCTACAGTATCTATATGGTTGTACGTTTTATTAATAAATAAAAGTTCTTACTTTGTACTAATTGTACTAGCTGTGTGTCAACTTTTACGAACAGGTCTTTCTATGATAATCAACATTTTTTATGTGTTTTTTTTTTAAGAATTGATAATTACACTGAATACTGTAATGAATTTTGATCACAAATTAATTAATTTTCTTGAATAAGGCCCATCTTGGGAGAAAACGCTTTTACTTTACCTATATTATAAATGCTAAGATATTTCCATAAATAGAGGTTAAAAGCTTAATAAAATATTGAAGTATTGGGTACTCTGAACGTTATTTTTGTCTTGTATTCTCTGCATGGCCTGCTCCTTGTATCAGTTGCAACTGGTTCCTTGGTAACTGTTATTTCTGTCACAAGCACTCCAAATGTCCCATTACTATAGTAGCAGTTTATGTAACTAGTACCAACTCCATCACTGTGAAATACTAATATTGGCCACAAAGTAACTGTTATTTCCGTCACAGGTCCTCCAGATGTCCCATTCCTAGTAGCAGTTGATGTAACTGGTACCAACTCCATCACTGTGAAATACTAATATTGGCCACAAAGTAAGTGTTATTTCCTTTACAGGTCCTCCAACTGTTCCATTTGTAGTGGCAGTTGATGTCACTGGTACCAACTCTGTCACTGTGAAATACTAATATTGGCCACAAAGTAACAGTTATTTCTGTCACAGGTCCTCCAAATGTTCCATTCCAAGTAGCAGTTGATGTAACTGGTACCAACTCCGTCACTATGAAATACTAATATTGGCCACAAAGTAACTGTTATTTCCGTCACAGGTCCTCCAGATGTTCCATTCCTAGTAGCAGTTGATGTCACTGGTACCAACTCCGTCACTGTAAGATATCAAGAACCAGATAACTCTGACAGTCCTCCTTGCACCAAATTTAGAGGTATGTAACAAAAATCAATAGTTAATAATCAGTAATCATTACTTTGAATCTGTATATTCGTTTGTTGGTTTAACAATACAATATTCCATCCTGTTTATCAACAAATTTAATTTAATTGTCCTGAAAATCGATTGTGTAATCTAATTTCAACATTGTGGTTGAGTTGTGCTCAATCAAGTTTGTAGAAGTTACCCAGTCAGACGAGATGAGCTAATGATAATTCTCCGTCTTGTTTGTCTTGCCAACTTATAATTAGTTAACTTGCCACTCTAAGCTCTCCGCGAGTCTTGTGTTATTTTGCATTATTCACTTTGCAACCGAACCTCCCACGAGATGGTTAATGGTGCAGACGTTCTTGTGTCGAAGTTAACATGATTTGACTCTCACAATAGAAAATAAATCAGTTTTGATGATTGAAATTTAAATATTTTTCTTGAAGCGTACAAATATTTAAGTTTAATTTGAGCGAATAAGGTTCTCGTCTAGTGGGTTGAGTAGAAGACTTTTTATCAGTCTTAATCACAAATGGCTTCCAGCTTGGTTCTAATTATGTGGAGTTTCGGAGGATACGTTGCGGATATGTGGGATACTGTACGTATTATATTGTGGGAAAATTAATCCTCTGAAAAAAGAGGACAGGAAATAGCTCTCTACAAAAATATTAATTTTGTCATCTACTACAATAGGATCATGTCATTCTCTTAGCCACTATAGTGGATTGAGAAAAAATTAAATTCTTATGATTCCAAGGAATTTACAACGGTTGAGTTCTGATATAAAAACATCATGTGAACTGCCGCTTATATAAAAACTGCTTGTTTGTCTCAGGTAATTGATAGTAAATATAATTTCAGATTAGCTACCAGAATTTATCATGTTTCTATTATTTCAATCAATAAGTCATTGGTGAAGATTTACTGTTCACTATATGAATTGTTGACTTCCATTGTATATGCTGTCTACATAAAACGTGTTGCAGTGGAATGGAGTTCAGATCCAGAGTTTTCCACGATCGTCGGCCACAGGGAAGTGACGGATGTGAAGAAGACAGAGCTGAGCGTGGACGGACTGACTCACGGACAACGTTACTACTTCCGAGCGGCGTGCGGGAACCTGCGCGGCTACTCCCACTACAGACTGAGCCAGCCAGACTGTGTCATACCCTCAAGTGAGTAAAGTGACAGTCCGCAGATTGTGGCTCATGGAGGAGATATTTGACAGATTATGTTGTAAATGGAAATTTATTTAAAATTGGTTCAAATACTTGAATAATTAATCAACATTGTAAATACAATGACATATAAATTACCAGACCAAATGTAGAGGAATATGTTCATGATTATATGATAGCCTCTAGATTATCAAGAAATATTGAAAGTAGTGTAACCGCTTATGGTAATTTTTAACATTAAGCAACTAGTTTTAGAGTCAAAGTATTGCCATCCTTAGGTTGTAGAAGAAAATTAGTCCATTTTACTAATCTGTTGAAGACTGCCACTTTATTCATCACTAAATGCAACAACAAAAATTGGCTGAAACGCAACACATAAACAGTGAAAATAATTTTTGTTTAAAGCGAACCTGGCAGAAGTTGATTCTAGACTGTGTGTGGTCAATGCAGCATACGTTTGTTATTTTATCTCTTCAGATTACTATTTCAAGTTTGTCTATTTCAATTGTGTCTAACCAGCCATACAGTACTAAAGTCGTTCACAAAATTTAGGCGTTTAAGGGGAAGATTTACTGGGTTTCCCGGCCACTTTTTGTAGCTTAATCTGCTGGTCAGCTGTCGGGTGTTGTTTCAAAGTTACGTGAGGTGGAGGAGATGAAATCGCTTTCCAATGCTGATACAATTCAAATCAGTAATTTTAATTTTGCTAATACACTGTCATCGTACACTTAGATTCCATTTGTCAGATCAGACATTAAAACCCATCTGTTTAGACTTTACCATCAATCCTGTATTTGAATCATATGTTTCTAATTATTAAAATGTTTTTTTTTACTTTAAAATGTAAATACAATATATGAGTTGAGTGAGTAAATCAATGTGAAAACCAAGTCCACTTTTTCTGAGTTAATATCTATAATTTCTTTACCATCAATCCTGTATTTGAATCTTATGTTTCTAATACAGGATTGATGGTAAAGTCTAACCACGATCTTTGGAAAAGTCATTTTTTAAATAATCACCATTGTCACAGACATTTCTTCTATTGCTACAGCTACATATTGTATTTGACATTTGCAAGTTATAACCCTCAACACATTGATTACCTTTTCAAATTGAATCAGCTGATTAACTCATTAGGTGTCAGTAGATTACACAAAAGAGTGTGACAGATGGTAAAGAACCTGTTAAACATGTCTGAAATAAAATCAGGATAAAACATTCAGTGTTGTCTATGTAGGTTGGCGAGACGTAACAGGCAGGGAGGAGAGATTACCTCCAGGAGGGTTGGCACTACTGGACCGACTGTTTGCGGAAGTCCGCAGCTCCCGGCCGGACCTCAAGGGACTGCCAAGTGACCAGGGGCCTGGCGACACACCACTGGGGCAACGGCGCAAGAAGACCACCATCAAACAGCTGTTCACAGCGGCCAGCAAGTTCCAGAAACATCTGAGAAGGTAAGGAATGCGGTAAAGTGTTGCAAGTTTTATTTTTATAACCTAGCTTGAACAAAAAACACCTCGAGCAATGCTCGGTCCATTGGTACTCATTCTGCACTTAACAACTCAGTCTCAATCTGGAGATTTTACAAGTATTTATTTGTGGTTACATTATTTTGTGGTTTTGGGTAAATCATCCACTTTCATCTGTTAAAGAAATCATAGTAAAAATGATTCTCCTGCCAGTGCCTTGTAGAGAACAATACATTTTCAGTAATAAAAGGTTCAATAAATAAAGTAAAAATAACTTCAAATTCAAAATCATTTATCCCCCAAATTTGCCAAAATATAGAAACATGTTACATCATTTACATTTTGAATTGACATTCGATTTGAAACTTCAGTGTAGATCTATAAATCCCTAATTTTAATGATCAATCAATATATAACTCTTTATTTTTCAAACCATTGAAGTAAAACAAAGAAGAGAACTGAAATATTAAGTAAACAGAAATCCTAACTATTAATTTAGAGTTAATTTTTAAAATAAAAGATGTAGAACTCGATGAATATTTCCATCGAGTTATACTTTAGTAAGGTAAGATGGCTAATTAAAACTCCGAGCAAAGAGTAACTTGATAAATTAGCTAACTTGGCTCTAACGAGTAAAGAGTAACATTTAATGTACATTACCTTTGGCCTTTGCTGTTCTATTCGTTGCATTTTAAATTGTATTTACTGATGTAGTTTCTTGTTTCTGCTTGGTTTTTCACCTCGAGTTAATTGCTTAATTTTTCCCTATTAACAACTTAAGGAAGTAATCAGGCTGGTTCATCTTTTACTTTTTGTGTTTCGGTAGTCTTTTTAGGACTTAATTACCCTAGTAAAAAATTTTTAGTTGAAAGAGTTATAAAATATTTTAAAAATACTCCTTTTCCAGAAGACCTATCCTTTTGTGTTTATCAACATATTGTTGTTGTTAGAACCGTTCAAACCTAGGTTTTGTTAATTTCCAACCTCAACCATTTCTTAGAAAGCAGCATTAGTAAAAGCCCAATGACAAATTAATGAAGTCTGGGTCAAATTCCATTCTGGTCAACCAACTCTAGACTATTCCAATCTAGTTTGAACCAGCAACCTTCAGATATCATCAAGCACTATATTCTACCTAAACAGGTGAACCTAGAGATCCAAACCACAGGGTTGCGGCAATAAAGCATATAGCAAAAGCTATCACACTAACACATAGTACGGTTAGTTAAACAATACATTTGTTTGCAGAGGAGTGTTCCTATCTTGTCTACTCTACCATGAGGACAAAGTGCTGGTGACCAATGAAGACTTCCTGCCTGTCATCGAGGTGGACGAGACATACCCGGGGTCCATCTACCATGACTTCCACTGGCTTCTCAAGGTAATTAAGCCTACTCACCATCCTCCATGGAGTCTTTCTTATGAGGTTTCATTCGTAGCTCATGTACCGAATCCAGAGACAGTCATGTAGCAATGGATGAAAATGTAAACTAGTCAAAGTTTTTAATATTCCATGAGATTTCAGGGTAAATAAAATTGTAAAGAAATTGATGAACTATACTTTCTCAAGGGCTCAAAGTCAAGAAGAAAAGATCTGAAGGACTTTTTGGGATTTAAAATTTTCCAGAAACTCTTAAGAGCACAACACAAGGCTATTTACACTTAGTTACAATCCAGAAGTATTAAACATGACTTATATTTGTTCCAGTGTGCTTAGAAAATTATCATTTATAGAAGTTGACCTGTTATTTACGTGAATTAGATTAAGCATGATTTATAGATTTGTAGTTTTAGAAATGTTTTATCGTAACGGGTAATTCTGATGTTGTGATGTTGACAGGTGGCCTGTACCTGGGATGATGTGAAGTGGTTGCGTCAGGACATGGAGAAGTCACTGAGTTCATCAGCCGTCCACTTCCGCATCAAGCTGCTGCAAGCCGCAGCCCAGATGCAGGTAAACTCACACAAAGATAGTTTGTGATAAAACTTTAGAATACACTGGATCCTCTATTAATTGCCAAGAAACTGCATAGCAATACAGAACACCAGAAGAAAAACTAGGGATATGGTTAGAAACCCTTGGGCTTGAATTTCTAAGTGACTGTTGTTAGAAATAACTGGTCGCCAGAACAGTACTTCCGACTGCAGTTCATAAGTTTGCAGCTCAGATGACAGTTGAATCAAACAAAACATGACAACCCAAACCCTAACATAGCAGTGCTTGGCAACTGGTGAAATGACAGTCGCATCAGTTGCTCAAAACAAAACACACACATACACAACAAAAAATGTTCATCAACAAATATCCAACTAATCTTCCTGTTTTTGCTAGACGGCGCTGAGTATCCAGGACCTCGGTCAGTTATACCACAAACCTCTGCGGGACTCCGAGGGTACAGTGGTCATCTGTACAGTCAATTACGTCGGATCTCCCAAGACCGTCAGCGTGCTCAACTCCAGGTGGCTACCACTAGGCAAGCTCAGCAAGCGAGCAGTGCCAGGCCCAGACGCCAACATTGCTGAGATACTCATGTCTACCATACAGGTAAAACTTCATACCGGTTTGGCATAGCTTCATATAGTTATCTGTTTGTGTTGCAAAGGAAAACTCTATTAATCTGGCTGTGTTTAGCGGATTTATTTTTGAATGGTGAGTTTGACTTGCACGATGAGGAGAAGATTCACACTTTGTTTACTCTGAAAGACTATTTGTTATGTGTTAGCAGTATAGCAGAAACAATATGTCTGATGTTCTAAAAAATGTTTAATGACTGCTTGAATAAAACAAGCAATATCAGTAACTGACATATAATTTCTCCCATTTGTTTGACATTAAATTGCTTTGGGTGAACAGAGAGGGTGACTAAGTTTGATGAGAAAAATAAAAATAAATCAATGCCTCTCATTTTTTTGGAACCTTAGTTCATGCTGATGCAGCAAGTAGTGATGCCCCTTCACTGTTCAAGATAATTTGGTTTGAATAAGTTCCCAATGCATGACAACTTGTGTTTTAGGAGCAAATTACATATCACCAAGTAAGCAGCATCCGTCTACCTAGAGGACTGTACTTGGCCTACCTGAAGATGAGAAGTTGTGTAGATCTGCTGCAAGTCCTCGTACCAGCCAAGAGTCCCAATGTTCCTCCCCACTGCAAGATAAGGGACAACCCTCATGTCACTGCGTGAGTAAACATTGGCAACATTCCATTGAAACCATGCCAGTCGCGCATGTAAACCTGGCTTTAATAGACAGAAGATTTTTCATTTTAAAAACATGTGGAAACTCTTGCCAATTTAAATGTCTACATAAAATGGTTTAAGTTCCCTTTTGCGTCAAACGATCCATGATGCAGTAGATGACTACAGCTGTTTCGTGCCGCTGGGACACATCTTCAGGTCAAGCGTTAAGATGAATTAAGCGTTAAAATGTCCATTTTGTAGCAGCACTTCAAGCCCAAACAATCATCCTCAGAGTTGAACAGTTGGTTGAAGTTGAAATCTTTCTATATATATTCTAAATATTACGATAAGTTCATTATGACTTGAAACTTTGCCACTGCTTCGAATATGCATATGGATGAAGGTAAGAAAGAAAACAGTTTCCTCAAGAAAAATTAAAATTAGCAGACTTAACATGTTGATAAGTAATGGAGGCGAAGCAAACAAATTTAGATCCAATTTTTTATTGAATTGTAATGAACAATTACGATTGAATTCAATTTGTTCAATATCAATATGTTTCAGCTGAGAAATATTCTGTTTATAGGGAGGAATGGGAGGCGCTGTTGGGAGGGGAGAGATGTGGACTGATATCAGAACATCAGAAGGCGTTTGTAGAGCAGGTAGCAGCGACTGCGAGGAGACTGTTCACGTACATGGAGGTGTCTACGGACGACGCTGCATTGCACAGGTAAATGATCTACTGTATAAGGATGGTCAAATTTGTGAATCACTAAAAAACATCGTTCTAACCTAAGGGAATGGTATTTTGTCTATCAAATATCATTAATATTTGGCAATATTTCATGAACAGATTTCAAAGTTACAATGTTTCCATTTTTTAAGAATTTTCTTGCTAGCCATGAAATCCTATTCTAATGTCAAAATGTTTAGTCAATGACGTGTTAGAGAATTCTTAAAGAAACTTTAGTTTAGAGATTAAATTGTTACACGATTTTACAATGAAGGAAATGGAAGTTATAATTAATTGACAAAAAATGACAATCTCTAAATCACAACCAAATGAATATAGATTCAATAAAATTACAGTGAAAATCTATGGCTATCTTCATTTTCATTATCATCTACATTACTTAGCAGCTCCAATACCCTCAGAGCTGCTGATAAACCTCTGCCATCCTCGTCCAATAAATAAAGTCCCAAATAAAGTTCTTCTTCCACTTGCTGAAGTTTTTTCTCCTATTCAATCATTACTCTTTGTGCCAGATTATTTGCTTCTAATCCTGTATCCATCCTTTTTTGTGACCAATCACCTCTATCATGAAATCCATTTTTTTTTATTGTTCTGTCACATCCAATCTGAGTTCTAATTTTCTAATCTTTGTTTCTAATTCTGGCTCATGATGTTCTTGTCCTGATGTTCTCAGGAAATTTCACATCTTAAGCTTGTATTCGGTTGTTGTTTTTTGTTGAGAATACTTACGCTGTATTTTGTGTTTGCAGGTTGTACGATCTGGAGACAGTAGAGATATCCCCGGATGTCAGTCTGTTGATGGTCGTACCTCCAGTGGACTCTGCATGTTCAGCTCCGGGACAACGGGAAACTCTGTTACAGCGACCCGACCTGCTGCCTCTACCTGTACAAGTGAGTACAACCACCACGGTTTTTTGTATAAATGTTTCAATAGATTGTTAAATCATTTTTAATGCTTTTACAATGTTTACTTTAGAACTTTATATTTAAGTCAATGGTGTATCACTAGCAACAAATTGTGTAGTATAACCTTTGTTTATTCTCTGTTCAAGGTGTTTGAGATGGTCCATCTAGGCACATACAGACACCAGATAGTGCAGAGGTACAGCAGACTCAGCTGCATCATAGAGCTGGACATGGCTTTGGCCAACCACAGCCAACGAGAGGTGAGTTGTAGTGAAGATATTGATAAAATAATACTTCTCCATTGTTGGTCCGTTGTTTCATAAACCGTTACTGTTTCAAGATCTTGCTTCATACCGGATAATTTCTCAAAAGCCAATGATCAGGGAAAGCTGACTCTAGTAAAAAACTTTGATACTTTTCTAGGATTAAATTTTCTACCTTTTCACTGTCACAACTACAAGTATCATAAAGTGTTGCTATGTTCAATAATATTGTTGAAAAAGTAATATTATTGGCACACTCAACAGAAAGATTTTACTATCTCAATTGGTTACCTCGTTAATTGGTTCATTGATAGTTGAAGCGATAACGAGTTGTCATCTCAACGTGTTTGTGTATGTCAGGCGTTCTCCAACACAGAACTGACCGTAGCCAAGGAGCGCCTGGCCAGACTAGAGGCGCTGCAAGCGCAACTCAACACCGCGTGGAAGCAGTGTCGTTGGTTGCTGGACGTCCTCTCCTTCGCCAGAGACAGAGCAACTCACACTCCGTCCACCATGGGGCGACTGCTGGCCTGCCATCCCAAGCGGTCGCACGACCACATCGACTGTCAGAACGGGGTGAGTGACACAATCATACCTGTACATTGTATGTTGTTTCTTTCAATAATTGAAATCAGTAAGAAAAATTTAGAAAAATTATACCTGAAACGTTAAAAATATAAATTTGTAAGTGGAACTTTGTTTGCAGTTACTGCAGCCGCCGGATCCGAAAGCAGTTAAGTCACGTGGCTCGTGGCCCGGCCCCGGCACCGGTCGTACTCTAGGTGCTGTCACGGCGGAGCTGAGCCGCTCAGAACAACACCTAAGCAACAATTCTCCCCCTCCACCACCTCTACCCCCGCCGAGACCACAGCCTACCTCCCCTCCACCTCAGACACAGCTGTACCCTGCAGGTGGGTGATTACTGATTATCATAGCTCAAACAGAGTTGTGAAACCCAAAAACTTCAGTTTATCTGTGACAGTTATATTTTGTGTTCCGTCATTTTTTTAGGAAAGAGCAACTCTCCCTCCTCCTCCTAATCCTATTTTGGAATATATACACAACCAAGGTCCTGTAGAAAAGATTTCCAGGTAGTTAAGAGGACAACAAGTTTACAATTAATTTAATATTACGTCCCTACAAGAGGGTTTATTCAGAAGAAATTAGGAAAATGGCAGTTCCAAAACTGTCACATAAAATTTAAATTAGTCTTGTCAATAGCTTTTTATACGGGGATTGCGTTCAGTTTATTAATACCATATTATAGATCTTAAATCTATTGCAAGTAACTTACTTTTTCAGTTTTTTGTGATGCTTTTTGCCATCATAAGTATTTCTGGACTGGCATGTATTTTGAAGCCCATCGGCATTAAAAATGCAAGTACCATTTACTGTCTCACTTCTGACTGGTTTGTTTGTTTTTAGTGTCTGAGAATGTGCGACTGCCGCCTTCCCGCAGCGAGGACACTCTGGTTCACAACAGAGGCTCACAGCCCCGGCCTAGGTGTAGTGTTAGTGTCACTACGTCACCCCTGCTCTCCTCCAGACCTCAGTGAGTGATAACATCATATACCAACACTATCCATGTAAGGTGATACAAGCAGCATCTTTTGCGTTAGGTCCGATTTCATACTCGTATATACACAGCTTTATAGTGGTAGCAAAACGGGAGTGCCGATGGAGACCAGGTCAAGTCCCTTTAAACGCACGCACCCCCACAGGTCTCCATCGGCACTCCCGTTTTGCTACCACTGTAATACCTGAATCAAATGGATTCTTCACGATACTGTAAAACATATGGTAAATATTGTTGCTCCTTGTTTGACTCCCAATGCGTATAGACTAACCATAAAGCAAGGAGAGCTCAATCATGATTGCTGTGTTGTGCAGGTTTGGCAGTGGCAGTCTTCACTCTCTTTCGTCTGATGACTCCGCCTCTGCCAGTGTTATGGCTGGGAGTCACAGCAAGAGTGAGGGGGAAGAGGAAGGAGCTACTGTACCCAACCCTTCACCTGGGATACTGCAGGTCAGTTACCTTCATGGATACAGTATAGAGTGAAAATTTAAAAACGTACGTTTTCATGTCCCTGGCCTTTTACTTCGTAGATACTGGATTTGTAGTTTATTATTATGTGTTTTAATATTTTTTGGGACGGGGGCAACATGTTACACACATTTATTTGGTTTTAAATAGGTTCTAGGTATTTTTTTCGTATTTTTAAAGTCTCGAAATTCACGACCATGACGTGTCCCTAGGGTGAATTTTCCAACTTTCACACTGTTTTTAGACTAATTATTCATGCCGAAATATATAAAGCCATATTTTTATGTCATCAATGGTTATTAAACTTACAAAAAAGGAGCATATTATAATTTTATTGTCATTACAAACTGACTACCATGACAAAATAAGTCTGTCCCTCGATTTGGCGTCACGACCATTTGGGAAAAATTTTCAACTTTGGAGCACGACAGTGGCAAGCCTGGCGTCGATGGAGTCAGTTGGTTTTAGAGACTAGTTCGGGGTGTACGTCAGGATTGTAGTGCCGGTCGTTTTGAGTTGAAAGGAGGAATTACAAGATTAATAAAGGAAAGATTGTGTTTTTTGTAATTTTGGTGTGTCCATGACCGTACGTAGTCATTCGATGAAGTAGACATGGTGTTAATTTTTGTTTATAAGATATTTCAATTGCTAGATTAACCTAGAAGTCCACTTTGTATCCTCGAACATGAGGTGCAGGGCTACCGCCAGAACAGAGCCAAATTACACGTAATTTCACGACCAAAGTTTCACGACCATCGCGGGTTTTTTCACGACCAATCCAGCCTTATGGATTATAGTGTGTTTGGTCGTGACAATAACTTTAATATAATTGTAAATTGAACAGTTAAGTTCAATTGAAACACATATTTTTATTATAACTAACATGATAATTGAAGGATTGTTTAGAACGACTTAGATTATTCCAGACAATTCACGACCGTACCGCTTGTCCCTGACCATCACGTTTATGATTTCTATCATAAAAATTTCAAAAATTAAAATATCGTCATATTTCAATGTTTTATACACAAAAGAAGCACACCTCTATACAAACATAACGATTTTTCGGGTCTCAGGTAAGTTTTTTCGGAGTTATACAAACTTAAAAAGATTTTATTGGCTTTTTTCAATTTTTTGAGTTTTTTTATTTTTTTCTAGAAAGACCAAATATACCAAAAGCTCAGTGACCTATTTATTGTATAATGGTCATAAAAGTAAATAAGTTTATAGCAAAACATAGTTATAAAAATAATATTAACTATTTTTAATATTCATTTAAACGTCCGTTATGGTCGTGACAGGATTTTGTGTTTTTCCACTAAAGATGCTCTTTTAAAAAGAAACTACCAAAGATATTGCGTTACCATGGACATTTTATGAAACTTCAAATGTTAATGAAATAAAAATAATAATAAAAGTTTTGAAAAAAGGGGAAAAGAATTTGCAAAGTGCTTTTGCTGAAAACGTACGTTTTTAAATTTTCACTCTATACTATGACCAACGTGTTTTATTAGTTTTTTTTATTTTTTATTAATTAACCTCTTGGTTTTCTTGTTAGTTTTGCAGCTAGTGTTTATAGAATCTGCTTAAAATAAGAGTAGATTCGATTTACTAGACACCTCGCCAAATTCTAGTGGTATTGAAATACATTAAAACTGTTTTAAAAGTCACCAACTAAACATTTTTGGCAGAGTGGTGTTTCAACGAAGCTTAGGGTCCAACTGTTGTATATGAGTGGCAAGCAACTAATTAGATCTGAACCTGCGACTTGTTTTATACAAAATCTACAACGCTGCCTCAAGCTGTTTACATAACTGCAGTTGTAATATTTTATTTTAGTTTCCAGTCTCGTGATTTTGTAATGCACAACAACAAAGATATAACAATATAATGCTACTAGCCGAGTGTTCTACTACAGTGTTGTGTCATACAGGTGTATGCAGCATATGACACTGGGCTGGCGGCTGGTACATCACTCAAGCTGCACGTGTCTCCCCGTACCTCCGCCCGCGAGGTGGTCGACCTAGTGGTCAAGCAGCTCAACATGGCCGTTGTGCTGAAGGGCAAGGACGGACCCATCTACCCTGCGGACCAGCTGCACAACTTCTGTCTGGTGGCAGTCATCGGAGCTAGAGAGAGGTGAGGTTACCGCAGTAGAGGAGATCACACATATCACTGCCTTGATTAAGTTGTAATGTAACCAGTATTAGAATTAAAATTTACATAAGTTAGGTGAATAGAGCCGTTAAAAAAGTCCAGTGATAAGATTTCAGATTTCTATGACACAAACCAAATTATTCCTATGCAGTTTTTTTAATTATGTATTTTACTGTTGATAGATGTCTCAGGGATGACTTCAAGCCTCTGCAGCTTCAAAACCCGTGGAAGAAGGGGCGACTGTACGTAAGGCAGAAGCACGACGTCCTCGCGGCGCTGGAGCACAGCTCACGACATTCCGCCTTCTTATAGGTCAACACTGTGATACAGGGGCGATAAAATACGAGCTTCGTTCAAACCGGTTGAAAATGTTCATATTTGCACCAGAAAATGTCCTAAGTATAGTTTTGATACTGTTTTACGGCTAGAGTCAGATTCTTTAAATAGCAATGTTATACAAAGTGTTCTTTGTCAGCGATGTACTGTCTAAGAAATGTTGCCAGTGGGTTGTTGCAAATTAGTTTTCATCCATATTTTTTTAACCCGATCTATCCGAGTAACACCAATATGAATAGTGTAAATAAGTGTTTTGTGATTGTAGGATCTTTGGAATTTTCAGAGACAATCAATGTGGACCGAGTAAGGCGTTCTCTCGTCTGTAGTGACAGTCAACTAAGTTCCAAGACTAGAGTTTTGTATATACATGTAACTTAGAAATTTAATTTATAATTGATGAGATTTGAAGCATTTATTTATAGTTGTTGACAAATTGTGATTAAATATATGTTATTTAAAGATGTTTGTGTCTTGACTATCACCTTGTCATCGCCATAATCTTTTAAGGCCAAGTCACACCGAGCTCGCTCCCGCGGCAGGAGCGAATGTTGAAAAATCGCTTACCATGTTATCAAATGTGCCAAGTCACACCGCACTACCGCGCGCCAGCGGGCGTGCGGTAGTGTCCGCCACGTCCGCCTGCTGAGCGATTTTTTGAGAGTACCGCGGCGGGAGTTTGGTCTAGCGCATGCGCAAAGAAGCATCTCGAATAGCCAATCTATTTAAAGTTTAAAATTACTGTACAGTAATACAGTTTAATAAAGATTGAAATTAAATTTAACATGTTTCTTTTGTTTGATGGTGTATGTTGTTTTGTTTTATCTTCGTAATATGTTTATCAACAGAAAAAATCATTTTTGTTTAGCATACAAAAATAATGTTCATGGCGAAAATTTAATGTTTTCTATAATTTTTTTTATATTGTCGACGTAAACAAACAATGTTTAGTTGTTTCATCAACTGTTTCAATTTGCAACAACCAAAACTGTACATTCAATGTTAAGTTGAACTTTCAATAGAAGGCTTAAAAAAAAACATTAGTTTTAAAATGGTCGTATGTTTTTATTTAAAAAGTAAATAGTCTTTGTAGTGTAGCGAAAAATAACGTTCAAAACACTGAAAGTGAATAATAGATCCTCAACCATATTTATAATGCTTGCACTAAGGACATATGGTCTAAATTAAATATAAAAAAATACAGTTAACTTTTTAATGTACATTAACAAATAAAAAAACCTTCAATTACTTTTTAATTACTTAACTACTTACAAAAAAATAAAATAAAATAAAATAATTTGCATGACATACTAAACAGGTAAGATGTGTTTCTTATGTAAAATTAATTGTAATGAAATCATCTGAAAACTCCCGCCGCGGACGCGAACTTTTGGTGTGACATGGCTCGAGGAAAAACGTCCGCGAGCGGTACTCCCGCGGCGGGAGCGGCGGATGTCGGTGTGACATGGCCTTTACTATCATTATTGAAAACTCTCCCTATATCCACACAGTGATGCGGTAATTTTAAAAATTGCTCTAATTTACAATAATTGGTATTAATGTTTTCCGGTTAACTTGCCTATTTAGTTTTATCATTGGCTGCCGCCAATAAAAAAAACATCGTTGTGTGAGCCAGTCACAGAATGCACTAGTGTCTAAATTTCTATTTTCTACTTTATTTTCTATTTTCAGTTAATAACCAAGTTGATGGGTCCTAACAGTTTCTGTAGGACTGTTTTCTGTAGCCCACAATAAGTCTTTCCATTAGTTTGGCTCAGTAAAAAGGTTCAAGTACTTTAGCGCAATCTGATCGGTCGGTGGCTCATCACAGAAACTAAACGATTATTTTAACAAAAAATCTGCTGACAACTTTTTGGGAATGGAATGTCTAGTTTTATCAATATAGTCAAAGGTTTTATTCTGTTGTAGCATAAGCCCATGTTCAACAAAAATAAAAGACAAAATCCCTGCCACAACAATTAACAAATCTGCATAATAAGCAAACTTACATTACATTTGCATGATCCGATTTCCACTGATACAAGTAAAACGTGTAAGATTTATTCCCCATTTAATTACCATTTAGGTTTAGTAGGTCAGCGTGTACTTAGGTTTACTACTACAAAAAATGTCAAAAATTAAGTTTTAGTGAATATAAGGAATATATTAGCGAGTTTCCTATATAGGTAATAAGGTATTACTGTATGTCTCAGGGTAGGATCTATAGGCCCGATTTACTTTTTCGTTTTCGAGGTCCCTAGATCCTAAACAAAACCCTCCGTTCAAATCCATACATACAGGGTGTTTTTTTAAAAACTTGCATCTTTATTTATGTAAAAACCGCAATAGATAGAAATATGCAGTTTGCGGGAATCATCTATTGACGTAGGGGGACCAATTGTTTTGAATTCAACGTTACATTCACATTCCCCCCCTTTCCCCCCCTGCCCCCAACTTAATTTTTTTAAATAGCAAAGTACCCCTTGTGACATATCAAATAAAAGAGCATGAAAAAAGAAAATTGTTGATGAAAAAAAATTTAAAATCGGTTCATAAATTTGTGAGATATTTCCCCCCTCACCCCCCCGGAACTTAATTTTTTTTTAATAGCAAAGTACCCCTTGTGACATATCAAATGAAAGAGCATGAAAAAAGAAAAATTTTGGCAAAATTTATTTTTCATTTGATATGTCACAAGGGCGGGTACCTTGCTATAAAAAAACAAGTTATGGGTAGGGGAAAAGGGGGGTGATTATCTCACAAATTCATGAGCCGATTTTAAATTTTTTTTCACCAAAAATTTTCTTTTTTCATGCTCTTTCATTTGATATGTCACAAGGGGTACTTTGCTATTAAAAAAAAATTAAGTTCCGGGGGGGTGAGGGGGGGAATATCTCACAAATTTATGAACCGATTTTCAATTTTTTTTCATCAAACATTTTCTTTTTTTATGCTCTTTTATTTGATATGTCACAAGGGGTACCTTGCTATTAAAAAAAAATAAGTTGGTGGCAGGGGGGGAAAGGGGGGGAATGTGAATGTACAGGGCCGGACTTAGGACTTCAGAGGCCCCGGGCGAATTTGCCGATGGGGCCCCCAGTATGATTATACGAGAACATATACGGTACACAATGTAACGCATTTACATGCACACTAATTTCAAATAGCTAATTTCAAGGTGAATTAATATGTAAACCTGTTGGAATGCTGTATTTTGCATAAACTAATTGTATGTAATATTTTAAGTCTGAAAATAGCTACAATGTACGGTGTTATTTTATGATTTGTTCTTGTTGTAATTATTGTATTTATAAAATTGTAATATACCTAGCAGGTACCTTACACATTTTTTGCAATACATTAAAATGTAATATCTTTTGCAACAAATAATGAAAACTATAGATAAAATAAAAATAAAATAACACGTACTTGTAAAAGGTTTAATTTAATTTATTTACTGTAATACACATTCTATTTGGTGCTTGAATGAAAACTCAAATGAAAAATAACTAACATTAATTAATGGAATAAGTTATATTTAAACACGTGATGTAAGTCAGAGATAATGCATAAACTTTTAAAGCTTTAATATATTTTATAACTTACTATAATTTTACTAACAAACCTTTTACTGTACTAAGTTTATAAGATACAAGTCAAAACAATTTTAAAGTTTACTTTTTATAGATTAATCATTATAAAGTTTAGAACATAGTTATTTTCCCTATAAATAAATGTCACTTCCTACTCTGATACGTTGGTCACGTTGGCATGGCAATTAAAACCTCCTGCTTTTCCTACATTTCTTGGCTGCACTAAAACTATAAAATCATAAACTATGACTTATGTTTATTTTCATAGTGGTTTTGGCATGGAATTCTCGTTTGTATAATATGTTAAAAGTCCTAGCATGAAAAGTACCATTAAGAACTTTTACGAGTTTGAGTTTTTTTCTTGACGAGTAAAATGTTACAATACAAGTCTAATAACCAATCACAAGCTAACCATTTATATGAGTGAACTGAAAGATGTTTAAATGTATTCAATATAAATTAATACAACACAAACATAACATTCAATACAACATTAATTTGTTCTTTGTAGTGTTTGCAGAATTAATAATAAAATACAACACAAATGTATGATAATGTCAACCAAAAACACACTGGGAGTGATTTAAATTGTTTTGGATTGGCGATAAGGCATTGTATGTATGTGTATGCGCGTGCGTGAGACAGACAAGACTAGACAGGATCCCTTATCAGCTCATTATCATTTATTGTTGCAGCTGCTTGTTGAGCGCTTTCTTACGATTACAGTCGACAACGCTCGCCCGCTCCCAAATAATGTAATTTTTGTTAACATCAGACGACCCTAGTTGTCATAAAATGTCTATATAGATTTTTTATCCTACTGGCGCTGTATGATTTTGACTCTTTGATTTTGATTTTGATCGACTAAATTGAAGATCCGAATTTCGACGTATAACTTAATTACTATTTTATAAAACCTTTTAATTGAATGGGTAATATAATACTTCTGCCCCTTAAAATCGTGAATGGCATATACTTAGAGGTAAAAGAATAACATCTAATAAAACAGATTTTTCAAACAATGTTTTTATTTTTCAAAAGTATTAGATCTCAATTGAATCTCCATTTAACCCCAACACAATTGTACAAGTTAGTTCTACGTTAGGACAAGAGTTTTCATATTATTTATTGTATTTTTTGCCCCAAGCGAAGGGGCCCCCTTCAACTTGATCACCACGGCCGTAGGTTTGTGTGAACGGCTTCATTGAAACTCAAACTGGTCCGTCACAGCCTAGCAGCTATGCTCGTGTAAACTAGGTCTAAGCGCGGGGCCCAGTGCAACCCTGAGGAAAAGTCCCTTAGAGTCAAGAATTTTGGTCCTAGTAATACCTTGAAGTTCATCTAACAATAACCTTAAATATAAGATAACGACAATAAAGCTGTTAAAAAAGAAGATCATTCGGTAAGTGTCTGATTAATTTTCGAAGATATTAATAAAAACTACTGTGCAAGGGGCCCCTTCGGGGCCCCCCTAGGCCCGGGGGCCCCGGGCGCTCGCCCCGTCCGCCCCTAGGTAAGTTCGGCCCTGTGAATGTAACGTTGAATTCAAAACAATTGGTCCCCCTACGTCAATAGATGATTCCCGCAAACTGCATATTTCTATCTATTGCGGTTTTTACATAAATAAAGATGCAAGTTTTTAAAAAAACACCCTGTATATAAATTTTATTAAATAAAAATGTCTTTGCTCACTAGTATACAAATAACTATTTCTGCTTTTCGTTATTCAACACACATCAAAACAAACTTCGAAAACAAACGATTCTAGTTTTACAATCAACTAGTTTCTCTACCCATGCTTCACTATAAGGCCGGCCGCACACCTGATACAGCACGGCACGGCAAGGCGAGGCGAGACGTCTTTGCCTCGCCTTGCCGTGCCCGATGGAGATTTGAGATGCATACGGCACGGCACGGCAAGGCGACTTGAGCACCCACATGGTCGATCCCATGGTTTCAGTAAAGTGAGATACTGTGTGTTATGAGGTTGTTTGTACATTTTGTGACACTTTGTACTACACATTTTGTGAGAATGGATGCAGAAGGCGAAGAAAAGGCTGCTGCCATCGCTGCTATATGGTACCATTGACTGTTGTGTTTATATAGTCAATGATGGTACCTAATGAATGTAATGGATGATCTCCCTAACAGAGAATCGTTGGTGCATCCCATCAACCGAAAAAGGACTTGAAACCATTAATTGCAGAACTAAGAGCAGATCCGGGAAAAATTCATAATTACTAATCGTTGGAAGTGCACACTGATTTTGACAGGGGCTGTCACTGCGCTGAACGTGGTGTCGATCCTCGCGCATGCGCACATCGTTTTGCCTCAAGCCTTTTGCCCGAAAGACGAAAATTGAAAAGGCAGAACAAAGCGCCGTACGGCGCTGTTTTGCCTTGCCTTGCCGTGCCCGATGATGTGTGCGGCACTCCCATTTGAAATAATAGAAATCTAGTCGCATAAGGCGCCTTAAGGCAAAACGTCGCGCCGTGCCGTGCCGTGCCGCATCAGGTGTGCGCCCGGCCTAATGGGGTGAGGATACAGAGCAGGGCCGTACCACGGCCGCCTTTAACTCCAGGCCGCGGCCTGGTAGAATTGGCAACGTTGCAATAGTGGTGTTGTCTAGCGCTGGACGTCCCATAAGATGACATTAATTCATTAATTCACGTATTATTCATTTAAATTTAAAATTATGAACTTAAATTTAAAATTATGAACATAAATGTATTAAAAGATTAAAAATAAAATATATAGAATTGAAAATGAAAACAATGTTTAAATTGAAAATTTATTTTTGTAGATTAAATTGGAGTTAATTTTTTTATAGCCCAATAATAAATAAGCTTTTGTATTCTAAAAAATACACTAATTACCATTACCTCGAAACAAAACAGCTGTTACAACCCTACATGCGATGTTGCCACTTTTTCGAAGGCCGCGGCCTGGAATTAGTGGCGTGGCCGTACTCAGACCGGATTTTTTCGGACAATTTTACCGGGGTCTGGGCCCCATGGAGGCCCAAGAAGACGGGCCTCACCAAACATATACTTCAAGGGGATGAAGGCCCTGCCTTATATTTTTACCGGGGAATGCCAAAGCTGCCTTTAACCCCGGCGACCGTGACTATAAGAAACAGTTACAACACATTACCCATGGATCAAAGCTTAAATAAATCGTACATTATTACTTATTTAAATGGAGATCTCTTATGTATAACCCACGGCCAACTTTAACTCCAGGCCGCGGCCTAAAGGTGGTCGTGGTATAATCTGATGAATGAGCTGCGTCACGGCCACCTTTAAAGGTGGTGGTGGCTGTTTGGCAGAATCTAAAGTTTAACTAAGAATAATAAACAAACCAAATAATAGAAAAAATCAAATGTTATAGCTGACTCATATTCAATATTCTAAATGTGATAAAAAAAACTTAAAAAAGACAACCCTTTAATTGAGGTGCCTTCCCATAAAGTATAAAAAGTATAAAGTATGCCCTTACGAGAGGGTTTATCGAAAAACTTATATCTTTTGGGGATGTTTCTAAGTACAGTACATATACCGTTAATTACTAGAGACGGCTATGGGTTAAGGCCGCGTTTACATATGGTTGATAGGTGTGCATCTTTTGGTTTTCTTAAAAGTTCAGATCATTCATTGCTTGCATTTCTTCTTTATTTCTTATACTCTTTGCTTAATTTATTTTCTTTCTTTCTTTGATTTCTATTCAATGTGCACCAACCAGCTGTTGCTGTCGGGCTGTCGCTGACTTAAAAAAAAATCAATCAGGTGTTTGCGCAGTTGCAGTTCTTGTTCTTGTTCTTCTTGTCTTGATACAGACAGAAACCAGAAACCAGTGTAACAGACAAGCGTCTAGGGGTGTGGGGTCATCGCGTGCTGGGGAGCCTTCCCCTCTTTCTCCAGCTCCCCACCACTAACGTTTCGTCTGCTGACGCCAACCTTCTTCTTCAATTGTTGTATTGTTGGTGTTTACGTTGTACGTTTGCAGTCATCGTCTGCATTGCAATTGCAAGAGCAAAAAATGAACCAAGTAATAGCCTTCTGCTTCGATAATAATGACTGAATTTAACAGGGAATATATTTTTTGTTTAATTTTCACTTTTGAGAACTGCTATTCTTCTTAAAATTATTTATTAGTTTTTCCCAGACTATTTACCATTTATTTACCACTGTAAATGAGAAGCGTGTGAAGTGCACAACTAGGTAATTAGGCTAGGCAATCGCTGAGAGGCCAACAGCATTATTATTATTGCACTTAGTATTATAATATGTAATTGCACTTATTATTGCATAGAATCCAAACGATTAAATAATCAATAAGTGCATAAAACTGCATTGGAGTAGATACGACTTCAATGAATTATTGAAAATCATCAACCATTTATCTAAAAAAAGTTGTAAAATATTTTTTTGGAAAGGAATAATAATAAAGATAATCATTATTACAATAACTTTTATTAAATTACAAAACATACATGTCAATTAGTACAATAAATATTTACTAAAAAGTAAATCATTTAATGAAAGGTGACATAAGATTATCTACGTGGTATTGGATAGAACTTGATTGACCAACAAATAAAAATAATAATTACATGACTTGTAATCTTTATGCAAATAAAATAATAATGTAAAGTATAAACAACCGAAAGGGTAACCCAAGTATTATAACACACTATAGGTAAATAAGAAAAACAGGAATAATAATAAACATTAAATAGTATTTTGGATTAACAATAATATTGGTAATAGTATACATCATACCAACTAGATGCTGACCATACTACTTGAGAAACATTAAAAACCTCATTAAATTGTTAAATAATCAATAGGCCTAACTGTATAAGCTACAAGTAATTACTGAAAATCATCAACCATGTCAGCAAAAAAAGAAAACAATAAATCCGTTAACTGTAAACAAGACCTAATCATTTAACGATTAGGCATAAGTAAATGCAAGGTAACATCAGAATATCAATTGGAGATGGCAAAAAATATACAAGACATATTGGCCTAAACATTAATAATAAACAAAAGTTTTTAAAAACTTCAAATTATCAACAACAAAAAGGTTACCAACTTCAGTACTTAGGAAATTGAAAAAATAGGTACAATAACAATAAACAAGGGCATTCCAGTAATCAACAGAAACATTTTTTTTAAGAATAATAGGTAGGGCTAGTAGCAATAATGGTTTACTAACTGACTTGTACCACAGAAAACGTACTACTATAACCCAGAATGCCAACCGCATGGTAAAAAGCATTAAGCGGTTTGAGAGAGCTTTGCCTGTCAATCTGTAGGCAGCGCCACCAGCGTTGCCATGCAATAGCATAGCAACGCTGGTGGCGCTGCCTACGGATTGACAGGCAAAGCTCTCTCAAAACACTTAATGCTTTTTACCATGCGGTTGGCATTCTGGGTTATAGTAGTACGTTTTCTGTGCTTGTACTGCCTACACATTTAACTGTGAGTCACAACTGTTAAATACCGTACATACATTACAGCTGATATGAAAAACTTAAAAAAATTGTTTTCCTACAGTTACCCAATGATGTACCCTTTACCTCACTGTTTTTAAGATGCAAATTGATTTAATAGCTCACTCTTTGGCCTTTAAAAATGTACACAAAAATGTAAAATGAGATCTTTTTCAGGGACTTTTTTTGTTCAAGACCTTTTACAACCACCTTTATTGCCTATAGGTCTCGCCACCATAAGTTGAGGCAGCCCAGACGGACGGGCAGGGTCATTATCGGCCAGTCCCGCACGACCCTTTATAATCCGATTAGTGACACTTCCGTGAACGCTCTAGTTCCATAATTGTCATTAACGAAGTTAAAAACCGATGTATAAATTTAGTCTTTTACTTAAATAATGTCGATTTAACAATCATTTCCGTTTTTGTCCCATCAAAATCGGACAATGTTTACGGTTTGTGAGCTATAAACAAAAAAACAAAGTAGTGTAGTTCCCAAAATCCAAAAACTGTAAACATTGTCCGATTTTGATGGGACGAAAACGGAAACGTTTGTTAAATCGACGTTATTAATGTAAAAGACTAAATTTATACATCGGTTTTTAACTTTGTTAATGACAATTATGGAACTAGAGCGTTCAAGGAAGTGTCACTAATCGGATTATAAAGGGTTTGGCGGGACTGGCCGATAATGACCCTGCCCGTCCGTCTGGGCTGCCTCAACTTAGGGTGGCGAGACCTATAGTTGTGTTCAGGTATTGCACTATTTCCACTTCTTATTTAAGTAATGTCCTGCCATGCTATAACGTATAGCTCTGATAGCGTATCACAGTTGACAAATTTGTAAATTATACATAAATCTGGAAAAATGCCAATCGAAATTTAGGAACAATGTGTTTAACTGTCTTCAAGCTGCATTATTATTCTGGTGCTGTGGAGCTGTGGTGGACACTAGGCTGATCTGCATTAACATGTGAAACCTTTTTTGTGTCTCCGCTGAAAACAAAATTTATAATTAGTAAATACTTTAATTACTGTAGTAAATATTGATTATTATTTGCATATTACCAAGGGTTTTTTTCCTTGACAATCTTCAAAAATGAATTTGGTTTAGGATAACTACAGACAAAGAATAACTCGCTTTAAAAATCCTAAAATGTAGGCCTATCAAATTTGACATTGATTCTGGAAATGATAGTTTTTCCGCAGAAGAGTTGGAAAAACCGGGCAAACTTTTTTTACCATAACGGATCACACACTCAAATTAACAACAAGCCGAACATGAATGTGCAAGAATTTTCAATATACTTATTATAACCTAACTTAGTGTTGTAGCTGTAGTGTTTGATTAGGTTATGTTAGGTTGGGTTTAGTTAGGTTTGGTTAGGATCTAGACTAGGTTTCAGGTTCCTGGAAAAGCTGAAAAACCAGATAAAATATACGAAAAAACCATTATATTTCTAACCAAAACCAAACTAACACCAGGGCTATAGCAAAGCCTAGACAACACTAGGTTGGGTTAGGTCAACTTTACACAAAAACTGAGAAGTATGATGGTGGCAGAGGCTTTACTTTTTATTTTTGGATTAAAGCACCCTACCCATTTAATTAAGTTATAAATGACCAATTAGGCCTAAACAATTTGGTCTTGTATTTAAAAACTTACAATTACCTATCTATTAGTCTATTTGATGGTACCTTACCTTCCTTTTAGAAGCTGAAAAGCAAGTTCATTTCTATCAGCCTGTGATGTCCCTTGCAAAGGCTTCTTCTTCGTGTTTTGCCGTTTGACAAAAATGAATTTCCTTTGTTTGGTAATATTCATATTGACTGGGGTTCTGTCTTCTATCACAATTGGTGGCTGCAGTGATCTTTCTTCCATTGACTTTAACATTGGTCCGATCGATTTGCAGTGATTCTTTACGGCTGTTAGCTGATTAGTGTTGGTGATGCCATTCCTTAAAGTTGAAATTAAATCAGCAATGAAAGCTTCTTTAGCTTCAGATATATTATCATCTTGTTTTGGCTTGCTCAATCCTTGAACAAGTGAAAGCTCCAACGCATCAGCAGTCCAATCTTTTGTACTTGCTGGAGGATTACTTTTAACACTTTTAGCAACCAAATGAATGTGTTTACACATGTTGTTTTTTATTCCGTTATCAATGCATGAGCATTGATATTCGTGAAAACAAGAATTACAGTGGAAACACCGCAAAGAACACCTATCACAATTTGACTTGATTTTGGTGACCGTATAAAATTCAGTTGTGCCACTGGACAATACTTGCCACTCTGTACAAGACTGGGGAAACACAATTTCTGGGGACAACTTGAGACTTTCTGCATGGCGCTTCCTCAGTATTTTCAACTTGGACACTACTTTCCCCTTAAAACTTTTGATTAAAATGTCAAAAAGTTTGTCATTTATGAGCCTGAGTATAGCGCAAAGAGTTTTGTCGAGGCGTTTGACTCTTTTACCTCGCAAATAACAATACTTCAGTAATTTATTAAAATTTTCCAAAGCCATGTTGGTGTTAATCCCAAAATGAATCCTTTGACAATAGGCCCACTTCTGGAATTCACCTTCCTGTAGGTAATAAGAGTTGAAATATTTTGCAAACTCTTTTGTTTCTTCTTTTGAAAGCCATTCATTGACTGCTTTACTCAGCATTTTTTTAAAAGCAGTTTGGTCAAGTTCGCACAACAATGTTTGAAGTTGCTTGTATACAATTTCTTTCTGCACTTTCCCCTTGACTTTGGAGTGGACATTTTTCCTCCAAGCCCGTAGCACATGCCATGTACAATACAGGTGCTTTGTACTTATGTCCATTGTCTTCTTCCATGCATTGAAAAAGGTGTTATCCATGTCGGACATGAAGACACGGGTTTTAACTTCTCCCGTTGATTTTTTTATTTCGTTGAAGAATATTTTCATGACATCTTCATCCTGCCTATTTGAAATCATGAAGCCTACTGGCATGCCTTCCCTTGTATCATCCAAAACTAAAAGGGTGTACAGTTGAAAATTGTAAGAGTTTACCCCATGGGTCCCATCAACACAAACAACATCTTGACAATATTTTTTAAATATTTCGTTTTGACTTTTTGTCATGAATACGAGGACAAAATCATTTTCTTTTAGACAGGGATAGTCTGCAACATAGGCTCCTTGTCTCTTATAAAACAATACAGATTTTTCTTGACTTGCATCAAAATTATCCACCCAAATGTCCACACTTACTGGGTCGTAGGGGTGTCTTACAGCCTCATCAGACAAATTGAAACTTCTTTCAATATTGTTTATGTCTTTTTTTGTCAAAAGGTGAATCCTCTTTAGTTGAGAATTTGACACACTATTTCTAATTTCTCTTAAAATCTCATCATGAGGGATTTTTCCAGCCAACTTGACAGCTATTTTTTCCCTTTCTTCTTGAGTAAGTGGCAAATGCTTTAATTCAGGGTTATGCCCTATGTGAGTTTTGGTAAATTCAACAGAAACTGAACCTGTTTTTTTTACAGTTGAGGTTATTGATGCAGGGCAAAATCCATTAATTTTGCAAGATCCCATTATTTTTAAAGATCTTTTTCCTAAACTTTTTGTCTTAAATAGCCCACTTCTATGGCACACAAAGGTTGATTTCAGTTGTTGATGACGATCTTTTTTGATATATCTAGAAGAAGTATCTATTTCCATATTCGCTTTCCAAGCATCAAACTCAGACTCGCTTGAGAAGTGATGTGTCTCAATCTCTATTTCAATATTGTGATTATCATAAAAGTGCTTGAACATCTGTTGTTTTAAATTACCAGGGCTTTTGTCTGAAATGTTGAAAGAGCAAAGTGGGCATTTTTTCTCTAATATGCGAATGTTTTCAGGCAAAACATAACTGTGTTTGATTTTCAGGTGATAATTTAAATGTTTCTTTGACTGAAATTTACTGTCACATATTGAGCATTGATGTGATTGAGGCCTAACTTCTGAACTCTGTTTATTCTTGTGAGTTACTTGTATATGTCGATTCAATGATGATTTGTTGGTCGTAGAGTAGTTACACAATGGACATTGCTTAGGTTCACCGGCAAAATGTACAGCATCCATGTGATTTTTGAGATGGTCTTTCCTCTTGAATGCTCTGTCACACAAAATGCACTCCACCTTTCTCTCTTCATCGCCATTTTCATTTTCATGTTTTTCCTTCAAGTGTCTAGTCAGATTACTTTTTTTAGAAAATGTCTTATGACATTGTGGGCAAATAATGGCCATTCTGCACCTGAAAGATAAAAATATAGGGTAAATTATTTTTATAGTTACATAGAGACTAATTATTAGGAAACAAATTTTGAATTGGTTGACTTCTGATAGACAAACATATTAGATTAAGTTAATTATTAAGATTAACCAACAAAAATTAACAGTACCAACAAGCTGAACGAGAATATGCAAGAATTTTAATAATTCAACTTTAAATAGCCAGGAAAACCTGGAAAACTGTTTTTTACCAAGATGGGTCATGGTACTAAAATTAACCAAGAAAACTAACGGAAGGAATTTCAGAGATCAGATGCATATTAAGAAAAATACGGCAAATAAATGCCCGCTACTCCGTAAACCCGCCTGATCCGAACAAGGCTAGGAACTTATTTGTTCCCGCTTCAACATTGGAAATGCCAAGGACCGCTACATTGGGATGCATTATTACAATATTCCGCCTAACTTTAATTTTCGCTAATCCGAACAGGGCTCGGTCCCAATTGGTTCAGATTAACGGGGCTCTAATGTATTAGTAAGCGAGCTGTGAAACTGTGATCTATGAGAAAATTTTAAAAATAGCAGTTCCTGCCGCAGCGCCCTATCATTTAAATCAAATTAATGTAACCTAACCTAACAAAATTTAATGTAGGCTAACATGGCTAAAAAGGGACACCTGTTTACCAACTGAACTGTTTCCGGTAAAAAAATAACATCACATGGCATCTCCGGATGCCTACTCTAACCTCCTTGAAGGCAATAGGTAGGCTAATTAATCATTAGGCCGCCATTTTGCAATGGGAGAACCTTTTGAGATACCGTTTCCGGCATTAACTACATTTAATCAGCTCTTTAAACTGATCTTAACTTACTTAGTAATTACTGTACCTTATGACAAGAGGATTTTCAGGCAAGCGAAGATCATTGAAAATCTGTGTATAAATGTGCAGAATTATTTCTTCTTCATTATTAGGTAGGCCTACCGAGAACTAACACGTTGTCATCATTTTAATCTCTCTTGGTGGTTATGGTTTTGACAGCAGGCAACGGGAACCTAGAATAATACTTAGATAAGACTCAGGGCTACGATAAGACTATCAGAGAATAACTTTAAAGCCAAAGCTTTAATTTTGATTAATGTACCATTGTAAGATAAGGTTGTAAAAATTGGTTGTACAGAAAAAAACTTTGTAACATTTTATAACCTCTCAAAAAAGTGGTACGGTAGCCTAATGTAAATTAGCAGTACGTACCAGTAAGGATTATAATTACTTCAACAATTTATTTTTGAACTAGGCCTAGGCTATACCTAATTGGTTGTATTGCTAGCCTATTTAAAACAAAGTGAGTTATTTTATTACATAAAGTTAAAGGCTCAAACATTGGCCTCGTTGGATAAATTTATAGGGAGGTTCTTAAAAATCATTAAAAACTTTATAAGTGTGTAACTAATATTAAGTAGGCTAAGACTAATTGGTTAGGAGTCATAAAGGGAACTAATTTACCATATTGGTACTATGGTATTACATGGCGGCCACCATTATACAACATGCTATGGCGGTTATGACAGGTTAGGTTATTATAATAATGTTACTAGGGCCCTCCTCGTTGAGTAACAAATCAAGTGATAAGGTAATTTACAAAACTTACTTTTGATTGCCGAATCCCTTCTAAGAAGGTTGTTTACCAGAGTATGTGTATCAATTGTCAGTGCATTTGTCAGGGCCAATGTCGTTTGAAAGTACGCCCCAGCATGCTTTTTAAGGCCGACTTCCGTATTGGCGGCAGCTAAGCTTACAACTAAATTCTCACCAACATCACAGCCGGCAGAAGGATAGTAACTCAATTAAAGTATTTTATTTCCTATATAAATTAGTTATTTTTTGGTATTAGGTACAATGGAACTCTTTTAAAATAATGGCCAGCTGTATAATACTAAGTACAAATATATGTTAAGATAGGCTATCTGTTTGATTTTTAGTCCATTTATAATTTTAGTACAACTACCGGCTGCACTTTACTTTAGGTCCTACACTCATTCGAATGAAAATATCGATCGATAACTTATATCGATCATTCGATGAGTTATATCGTTTGGTTAGTTAGGTAAGGTTAACCTTACCAAACGATATATCGAATGAAACAATCGAATAATCAATATTTTCATTAGAATGAGCGTCGGACCTAAAGTAAAGTACAGCCCAACTACCTTAGCCTTATATGGAACAGGACTACCCAGGTGAGCTTTTAATGGCTGCACTTTACTTTAGGTCCTACACAAACAACCGAATGAAAATATTGATTATTCGATTGTTTCATTCGATATATCATTTGGTTAGTTAGGTTAGGTTAACCTTACCTAACTAACCAAACGATATATCGAGCAATCGATATTTTCATTCGAATGAGTGTAGGACCTAAAGTAAAGTGCAGCCCTTTTAATATAAAAAAGTATTGGTACAGTAAGTTTCCTTGGTAAACTTATTACAAGGAGGACCACTAGGGCCTATATTTTTAGAGTTCCTTTGAACTTTATTCCAAAATAACTAGTAAATAGGAAAGAATATACTTACTAGGCTAACTTAACCTAAATTGAGTTAACTTATTGCCCAAGTTTTACATAATTATGATGAGCAGTGTTTGTGTTCTGCCTCCCATAAGGCGGCGATGTCGGTGAGAATTGACTTAAATGTAAAAAAGTTAATATATTAAGTTTGTTAATATTTACCTTTAAACGTGTCATCGGAAAACATAACCTAGTAACAGCCAACAGCAACCAAACAAAGACACCATGACCAACACCATTCACTGATGGAATTGGAACCAAAAGAATAGTTGGTGAATTCGGAGTTTAGACAGTCTATTCATTAGTGACACCCTTCACACGATGACAATATCGATATTGAGATTGAGACCAACAACACACAACACAAGCTACACGTGATCAGATCAGACAGCAGACGACAAGTCGAAGTCAGAGTGGTGGCCGGTGGGGAGCTACAGAAAGAGGGGAAGGCTCCCCACCACGCGATGACCCCACACCTCTAGACGCTTGTGAGAAACAGACGTTTGTCGTTTATCTCCATCTTGCATAACAAACATAACCCTATATCTTTATCTGCTGAGTTCTTCACAATCACAGAGTAAAGTACGATAATATTCATTCTTAATTTACAATTAGATTGGAATACCTCAAGTGATGAGAAATTTAGGAAATATACCGTCAGCTTGAAGTCCAAGGTAAGGATACTAAATTACAGAAATCAGTAACTTAGGCTACGGTAGCCTGATTAGTTTTTATTGACACAACAAGATGTTTTAATTACCAACGTAAGCTATGGTAGCAGTGGTTGCATTAGTGGTAATTATATCGACCTCCGGACCTCACGCGAAATTAAAAATTTCTTTTTTCCAAATGGTCGAAATTTCACGTTGATTTCAAAAATGATTGTCGTTTTTTTCGGAAACTTCCCGTTTTCCCGGAAAATGGGAAAAACGGGAAACATATTTTTTGCTCAAAACCCATGTTGTGGGTACTCAAATTATGCGGAATTTCCTCCTGAACAAGAATATGTAAATTTTATTACGATCGGACCACTATTAAGTAAAATATCACTGAAAAACGGGAAAACGGGGAATTTTTTTCTCAAAACCCATGTTGTGGGTACTCAAATTGTGCGGAATTTCATCCTAAACAAGAATATGTAGTTGATCGCTTTTAAGTAAAACATCACCGGACAGGTTAACTAACCTAACTTAGGTTTAGATTAGGTTAGGATAGGTTAGTTTAGGTTAGGTTAGGTTAGGTTAGGTTGGGTTAAGTTAGGTTAGGTTAAGTTAGGTTAGGTTAGGATGGTTTAGGTTAAGTTGAGAAAAATGCAAGCATTTTTGAAATAGTAATTTTAAGTGTTTTTCGCAGGATTTCAATTTTACAAAAACAGTCTGCAGGCAACATAAACTAACAACTCGATACATTATAACCTAAACTTTAACTTACCTAATCTAACCTACCTTCAAAGGACTTAATGCAGTCACCAATTCACATACAGCACGACCTATCACCCTGACATGCCTTTTCTGACATCAAAAGGAGTTTGCATACACATTCTAGAGGTTTGGTTAGGTTAGGTTAGTTTAGAACAGTTCCGTCAAATTAATTATAAATTAACCTAACCTAACGTATTATAGCTTATAAGCCTGCTCGCCAAAGAAGAATACACCCAGATGGCCAGATTTATGTAACCATACAGCAGGTTTGGTTAGGTTAGGTTAGTTCAGAACAGTTCCGTCAAATTAATTATAACCTAATGTAACCTAACCTAACCAACCTAACTAAACGTAGTATATAAGCCTGCTCGCCAAAGAAGAATACACCCAGATTGCCAGATTTATGTAACCATACATCAGGTTTGGTTAGGTTAGGTTAGTTCAGAACAGTTCCGTCAAATTAATTATAACCTAATGTAACCTAACCTAACCAACCTAACCAAACGTAGTATATAAGCCTGCTCGCCAAAGAAGAATACACCCAGATTGCCAGATTTATGTAACCATACATCAGGTTTGGTTAGGTTAGGTTAGTTCAGAACAGTTCCGTCAAATTAATTATAACCTAATGTAACCTAACCAACCTAACTAAACGTAGTATATAAGCCTGCTCGCCAAAGAAGAATACACCCAGATTGCCAGATTTATGTAACCATACATCAGGTTTGGTTAGGTTAGGTTAGTTCAGAACAGTTCCGTCAAATTAATTATAACCTAATGTAACCTAACCTAACCAACCTAACTAAACGTAGTATATAAGCCTGCTCGCCAAAGAAGAATACACCCAGATTGCCAGATTTATGTAACCATACATCAGGTTTGGTTAGGTTAGGTTAGTTCAGAACAGTTCCGTCAAATTAATTATAACCTAATGTAACCTAACCTAACCAACCTAACTAAACGTAGTATATAAGCCTGCTCGCCAAAGAAGAATACACCCAGATTGCCAGATTTATGTAACCATACATCAGGTTTGGTTAGGTTAGGTTAGTTCAGAACAGTTCCGTCAAATTAATTATAACCTAATGTAACCTAACCTAACCAACCTAACTAAACGTAGTATATAAGCCTGCTCGCCAAAGAAGAATACAACCAGATTGCCAGATTTATGTAACCATACATCAGGTTTGGTTAGGTTAGGTTAGTTCAGAACAGTTCCGTCAAATTAATTATAACTTAACCTTATCTTACATAACCAAACGTAGTTTAAAAGACTAGGCCTACTCACCAAACAAGACGACACCCAGATGGCAAGATACACTTTAATATGGTCCAAATAGTTCAAAAGGGAAGAAAATATTACACTATGTACAATGGTTTTGGGAGTTTACTTCAATATAGTTCAAAAGTGAAGCAAATATTTACATTATGTACACGGGGGTTTACTTCAATATAGTTCAAATAGTTCAAAAGGGAAGAAAATATTTACACTATGTACAAAGGTTTTGGGGTTTTACTGAGGTGGAGGGTAGAGCTGAGCAGCTGCACGGAAAAATTCGTGCAGTCTGATCTTGTAGGGGTATTTGACCTTGAACATGTACTCAGCCAAATAACCGATGAAATGGGTTTTCCTCACACCAAATCTGGGCGTTGTATGGCGCACATCTCTCCACTGACGCTCTATTGTGTTTGTGTGCGCACCAGATTGAGGGTCCACAAAATTAACGGAATGGTTAACCGTCAAATGGTTGAAACCATTGTGTTGGAGGCAATTATAGGCACGCCAACAATCGCTGATAATGGTCGTGCCAGGGATAATCCATTCTTGTATGATTGCCAAGAGCGTGTCGGCATCTCTTGTGTCTACCGGTACTAAAAAACTACGCCCTGACCCGCGCTCTACACCTCCGAATACCCATTGTCCCTCCACAACTCTACCGCGATTGTATTTGCGTTTGCCGAATTTGGCCTCATCAATCTCTACGATTTTATCCGGCCCTCCGATCATGGCCGAGTTTCTTTGAGAATGGTCAATAAAGACCTCGCGGCAGAAGGAATACCAATCGACCACGAAGTGGTCGGATACCCCTAGTTCTTCCCTAATCAAATAGTGTCGTGGGGGTTTTAAAAGAAGCAGGAACGCCACCAGCTGAACATACTTCTCTAGAGGGAGATGGGATCTTTCTAGGAAGGTTCCCTTCCGCGCACTTAAGAAAAAATTGCATCTCCGTATTCCTTTCTTAGGATCACGTCGGCTTTTCTGGCACCGGTACCGTAAATTTATTCTGTCCAACACGCATACTCTACCACAGTTTGGACAATTTACGGATCGGTGGAAAATTCCATGGTCCAACAAAAACCTCACCACCCGGTCATAATCCCACGCACCCGTCTCCAACAAACTAATTTCGCAACTTTCACATAAATTTGCATCGCAATTTTCACAAAAATTTGCATCAGCTTCTTCCACCATTTTGCTCACAACTAAAAGGTAAACAACTTTCTCCAACAATACTCCCATAATATCACACTAATACCGCAACACATGGTGGAAGGAAGCAACAATACTACGCTAATATCGATCAAACTATCGATTAGATTAGTAAACATTAATTCGATTTGTTCATAATCAGCGAGTGTGGTTAGTCATGTTAAGTTATGACAGTTTTATTTTATAATTAAAATAGTTAATAATAGATATTATTAATCGATATTTCCAATCGATATCTTTAATCATTGGCTTAGCTCAATTAAGAAACTGTACCTTACTCCCCTCCTCTAAGCTCTTGGACTCGTCCTTCTGCTGACCAGACCAGAAATGAAATGTCAAAAAATGGCTTGTTAACCTCGTCCCGCTATCAATTTTAGCAAACTTTAAACGCGATTTTGAGGGTGAAAACGGCGTTTCCCCCAAAAGTGTTAAATGTAAAAAGTGCTCAAAATAGTCTAATTTAGGTAAATAAAGTAAAAAAAAGTCAAAATAACATAAGTAGTAAAAACTCAGTTTTACCGTTAATTTACTTACAATACTCATTTTATTGATATACTAACCCAACCTAACCTTACTTACGAACTTAGGTTAGGTTAGGTAAAGTTTGGTTAGGTTAGGTTAGCTTAGGTAAGTTAATTTTACTTAAAATACTAACCTAACCTAAACTAACCTATCCTAACCTAACCTAACCAAACTTAACCTAACCTAACCTAACCTAACCAAACCTAACCAAACTTAACCTAACCTAACCTAACCAAACTTAACCTAACCTATCAAAACTCAACCTAACCTAAACCAACCCAACCTAACCTAACTTAACCTAACCTAACAAAACTCAACCTAACCTAAACCAACCTAACCTAACTTAACCTAACCTAACCTAACCTAACCTAACCTAATCTACACCTAATTTAGGTTGTGTTAGGTTAGTTAACCTGTCCGGTGATGTTTTACTTAAAAGCGATCAACTACATATTCTTGTTTAGGATGAAATTCCGCACAATTTGAGTACCCACAACATGGGTTTTGAGAAAAAAATTCCCCGTTTTCCCGTTTTTCGGTGATATTTTACTTAATAGTGGTCCGATCGTAATAAAATTTACATATTCTTGTTCAGGAGGAAATTCCGCATAATTTGAGTACCCACAACATGGGTTTTGAGCAAAAAATATGTTTCCCGTTTTTCCCATTTTCCGGGAAAACGGGAAGTTTCCGAAAAAAACGACAATCATTTTTGAAATCAGCGTGAAATTTCGACCATTTTGAAAAAAGTAAATTTTTAATTTCGCGTGAGGTCCGGAGGTCGATATAATTACCGCATTAGTGAATAATTTAGTGAAACAGTGGTCAAAGCCAAGGGTCTAACTTGTGTTGTAATTTACTCACCTAAGTTAGGCCCATTCATTAGAGAACCAACCAATGTGCTACAGAATGCTAAGGTCCTCATGAGAACAAAGTTCCTCATAAATGCTATTTTATTAACACGTTGACTGCGCGCGGGCGACTTTACAGGCGCTCCCCAGTGGCGGGCGAAGCCCCGGCGTGCAACCGAATCAGCGAACGCAATTGGCATTCAAATATTTCAGTCTGACGAATCACAAAAGAGCAGTGGTGACTGTGCTGCGTTACCCCGAGAGTGGATGTAGTTCACTGAAACACCCAAGGGTAGCAGCACTGCACGGATCCGTATCCAGTGTCTTTGTAATGTGGGTTGAAGAGAAAATATCCCCGAAACCGGGACAAAAGCATTGCCAGACAGGAT